GTCTTTTTTTAACATTCCTCTTAGTGTATTTGGAGTAATATTGTATTGAGTATGTAAGGATTCCAGGGGAATCTTCCTCTCAGAAATGGTTTTGGGATATAGGAAAATCTTTTTAGAACATAGGACTTTCTGAAGCCTTTCCATTTTGCCTTTCTATTTTTAAAAATACTTCGATCCAGCCATGAAAGTTGACACCGTTTTATCAACACAGATGCTCATTAAATTAAGCTGCCTCTGAAGTAACTCAAGCCAATGGGCAAGTCAGAATTTTAACAAACATGGAAATTCTATTTTAACATTAGTACTTTATCACTTCAGTTTGCTGTTTTTACTCTTCTGTGTAGTCCTTTGAAGTCCATTTGGAATTTATTGAGACTTTGTTGCCTTTCGGATGTGGAATATCTTGAGGAATATAAACATGTGGACTTGAAAAGTATGTATGTCCTGCATTTGGGTGTTTCCTTATATAAATCAAATTAGATCAGGATGATTGATGCTATTGTTCAAATCTTCTGTGTTATTGCTGATTTTTTTTCCCCTACCTTGTATCTGCTTTTGCTCTCCCGAAAGAGGGTTGAAAATGATTGATGGGACAAAACAAAACTGGAAAAAGGACAGGACCATACACTTAAATCTAACCATATCAAAAATTACATCAAATATAAATGACTTATGTGATTCTCCTTTAATTGTGTTGAATTTTGCCTTGTATATTTGGAAGCTCTGTTATTAGTTGCAAAAACATTTGCAGTTGTTAGGACTTCCTGATGAGTTGATCATTGTTATAAACTGTCTCTTTCTGGTAATACTTCTCAATTGAAAGCCATTTTTCTTATATTGATAAAGCCATGCCTTGGGCTTACTGTGTATATGGTATTTCATTTTGCATCCTTTTATTTTCTATTTTTTTATATTTAAAGTATAGCTCTATTAACAGCATATTGTTAGTGGGGTTTTTCTGTTTGTTTGTTTGTTTGTTTTAGCCAGTCTGACAATCTCTGGCTTTTAATAGTGTTCATTCTGTTTATATTTAATATAATTATTTATATGAATTTAAATCTACCATCGTGCCATTTGATTTCTGTTTCTCCCATCTCCTCATTGTTCCATTATTGCCTTCTTTTGGATTGAGGATTTTATTAGTATTCCATTTCATTAACCTAATTGGCTTTTTACTAATATCTCTCTGTTTTGTAATCTTAATGGATTGCATTGTATATTCTTAACTTATCACTGTCTACCATGAATTAGTATTAAACATCTTTGTGTATAATGTAAGAGGTTTACCCCTTTCTTCCCTTTGAGCCAATAAGATTTTGATATTCTTCATGATCCTAGCTACTCTCCCTCCCATGGACTGGGAAGTGCCCACAGATAAAAGAGGTATAAAAATGAATCTCACTCATTATGGTTCCCTTTACTCAGAGCTGAATTCCCTCCAATTTCTACCAGCTTTTGCTCACTCTCCAGTTTCTTCAAAACCGTTTTTATATTTTATCCAGTGCTTTGTATTGCTATTTGTGGGGTAGTTTGTCCAATTAATCTACTTCACCATTATCAGAAGTGGAATTCTCATTTTGTCATGTTTAATAAACTAAGCACTCTTCTGAACCCATTACCTAACTCAAAAATTTGAACAGTAACCTTTATTTAACTATGTAACTCTTCCTCTCAGCCTATCCCCCCATATCCCTGACTTGAGGTAGCCATATCCTGAATTTCATGTTACTATTTCCTCTTTTTTGTTTGTATTTATAGTTTTGTTGAATCTTACATGTATTTCTAAAATATATTTAAATTTATATTGTTTTAACTCCTAAAAGTCTCACTGAATTTATTGGAGACTTATTTTTATTTGCTATTATACTGCATAGATTTATTCACACCACACATATATTGCTTTAGTTAGCTTTGACAACTGTATGTAATTCTGTTGTGTAAATACACCAGTTTATTCATCTCTTGTGTTGGACATTTGGTTTGTATCCACGTTTTTGGCCTTGCAAGGAGTCCTACCATGAACATTTGTGTGTGTTCATGATTATGTACCTTGGAATAAATATTGTTAGCGTGAAAATGAATATGTTGAAGTTTAGATGACAATGCAAAACTGTTATTCCAAGTGGTTAAGCCATTTTACATTCCCACCGCCATTCTATAAGAGATTCTGTGAATCCACATCCTCTGTAATACTTGGTAATGTCAGTTTTTTTTCCCCCAGTTGACTAAGTATAAAATGGTATCACATTGTTGTCTAAAATTTCTTGTATTTTTCTAAATATATTTTTTAAATATTTTATTTATTTATTAGACAGAGATCACAAGTGGGCAGAGAGGCAGGCAGAGAGAGAGATGGAAGCAGGCTCCCTGCTGAGCAGAGAGCTCCATGCGGGGCTCGATCCTAGGATCCTGGGATCATGACCTGAGCTGAAAGGCAGAGGCTTTAACATACTGAGCCACCCAGGCGCCCCTAAAATTTCTTGTATTAATGACATTAAGCCTCTAAGTGTTTATTGGCTGGAGATAATTTCTATTATATATCTGTTCATGTCCTCACCTCTCCCTTTTTAAAATCAGTTTGTAGGAATTCTATCCTTTGACTGCCTCTGAAGCAGACCACCTATACTATTTCTAATTTATTAGAGATCATAGGCCTTTGAATCCATCATTCTCCCAGACTACCCCATTTAGTTTGCAAACTCTTTAAATCTTAACCCCTTTTTCCTGCTCCATTTTTCCCCTTTAGCACCTACCTCGTTTACAGTATTAAATACATTTTTATTGACTGTTTAACTATTATATGCAGGCTGTTACATGATAAGTATAGAGATTGAGATAAGCATCCATAAACATTTATTGCAATTTATTTATTTATTTTAATTTTTCTTTTTTAGAAAGATTTTACTTGTTTGTTTATTTGAGAGAAAGAATGAGAGGGCATAACAGGGGGGAGGGTCAATGAGAGAAGCAGACTCCTTGCAGAGCAGGGAGCCGGATGCGGGACTCGATCCTGGGACTCCAGGATCACCTGAGCTAAGGGCAGTTGCTTAACCAACTGAGCCACCCAGGTGCCCCTACTTATTGCAATTTAATATTGTCATTTATTAAACAAGTGATTGGAAATTTAAAAAACCACTGGTTCTTCACCACTCTGAAAACCACAGTCTAGGTTCTCAGACCTCTGTGTCAGAGCATTTGAAGGCTCGTTGAATGGAACAGAGAAGAAATACATAACTATCTGTTGTCTGTGAAAAGTGTTCATGCTGCACACAAATATTGCTAACAAAGATGAATATATGTTTTTCTAATTCAGTGAGGTAGTGAGAGTTTTTCTAATATGAGCATTACTTTGTTTTATTAGCCATCGTTATAGCTGAGCCTGGCTTGAATTTCTTTGTGTTATTTTTATGTTTATCGTAGTATCTGGAGCTCTTGGAAGTGCTACTTTTAAAATGAAAGGGAATGCAAGCCACTTAATTACATGAAATTCAGGGACTGCATGGTCTTCCGCTTAAATCTCTGTGTTCTCAGTTGTCACTGAATTTTGAGTTTTCATCCTGAACTGTGACTATTAAATTTGCTCCCCACCTCTCTGGACTGTGCAAGTAAATATTTGAGAACTAGCTAAGTTCATAACCTTGCTTTGTTAACTCCTAATTGCTGGGTGACTGTAAACACCTGCCTTGAGTACTTTTGTGCCATAGTTTTTCCACAAAAATGGTAGTGATACTTTACAACTTCTGAAGTTGAGTAAAGTTCTGAGAAATCTGCAACGAAATCTCTAAAAACTATGAAATCAAAGCAATGCTTCATGATGATAGGGCATTTTATCAGAATGAATGCAGAGTAGAAAATTGATCCAAGAAGCTGTTTATCAGAACTGTAAGTATGTTCATAAAAGTAAAGTGGTGAGATCTGGCTGCTTGGAAACAGTGGGCAAAGTTTTCTTTTAAACAGCGTATCCTTTATTTCCCAGACATTTGCTATACCATAGTATCTGCAAAGTAGCTAGGGCCCTATTTAGGCCTTTTGGGAGAATTCACATAGGTGCTTAGTCTGGTATTTGAAGTGCATTAATTAATATTGGAAATCACATAGTCTTGACTTTTTCTTGTTCATAATTAAATTTTTTGCAAGAATAATTCCAATATATTTTTTAACAGGTGAAAGAGTGAGTAGATTATGTCATAATTTCAGCATATGCCTATTTTTCAGATAAGATGAGATAAACAGAAATTTAATATGTATCATAGTGGAAGTCAGACAGACCTAGGTTAAAACCTGGTCTTTACTATATGTTTATTTGCTGTGTTTCTGTACAAAAATCAACAAACATCGTTGATATCACCTATCTAATGGAGACAAATGTATCCATTTTATTGGGTTGTTGCCATGATTAGGGCTTATGAATAATTTGTGTCTATGTATAAGGACCACTATAGACACTTGTACATGGTAGTTGTTGTCGTATTACAAAATACCAGTGGTTGTATGTGTGTGTTCAGTGTGTTTGCTAGTAAACCCTTTTGACAAGTCCTGTGGTAAATCCATCTACAGAAAACAAAACAAAACAGAAACAGAAACAAAGGCAAACTGAAAGAGCAGAAATTGGGTGGGGCTGGTGCAGGAAGAAAGAAATCTCCTCTACTGAGCATTCCTCATGGCCCTCAGGAAGTTTCCACAGCCATCCCTGGTGCCCTCCACAGAGGCCTCGAGTTCTGGAGAGGGCATCATGGAAACCGTTCTACTGGACTTTCAACACCTTGCATGCAAGAACTGAAACTCATTTTATTAACTAGTGGAGTGTGTGGTCTTGCAGTACGGTAGAAGGTCTGCCATAGCGTGTTAAGTGACTGAGGTAATTCAGCTCTGCCAGTTCAGAAAATTTCTCTCCCTAGCTGACGTCTAAGTGGGGTTGTAATTTGGCCTTGAGCTGTCACACCTGCTGGGAAGCATGTGTCATTTAAAAGGATATAATGGTAACATCATTGTTTTTTCAGATCTAGGTTGGAATTGGCCCTTGACAAATAACAAAATGATGAGTGACGCAAGTGACATGTTGGCCGCAGCGTTGGAGCAGATGGATGGGATTATAGCAGGTAATCTGCGTCCTCTGAAAGATGGAATCATGACATTTACTCTGCGCTTTTGGCTTTTTCATTACAACTCTTTTATTACCTTTTCCACTTTATTTTCATTTATTGGTTGCCTTTAGATTCCCCATGGTTTCACCTTGGCCTCTCTTCTCCATTTTATACCAGTATTATTCTCAAACTTTGTTTGAAAATGTCTAATTCCATTTCCATCCTGTGGTTCTGACTCAAGGAGAAAGAAAGTACATCTCGGGCAACCCTCTCACGTTCCCTTCCTCCTCGGGAGCTTTGTACTTATCTGTACTTTACTGTACTCCAAATAAACCTTGCTTTGCTGCCCACCAAAAAAAAAAAAAAAAAGAAAGAAAGAAAGTACATCTCATGGGATTTCGGTGCAGGTAGTAGCTGCAGGTCACACTTTGAGAGATACTGCTCTACCTAGGATCCATGGATATTCTGATCTATTCCCTTGAATTCGACATTTATTTTGCCACCAGTAACTCTCACTTCTATTTACTTTCTCAATTCTCTGCTCAGCTTTGGGTCTCTAACTGCCAATCAGATACCTCCTTTGAAATAGCCTATATGCATATCCGCGTCATCACAGAAAGCTTTGAGCTTATTTTCTTTTCTCAGAGGCCTCTCTAGTAGTCTTTATCTTATCTAGTTTCATAATCGTCCATCCACACAGTTTTCTACATAGAAATTTAAGTCACACTAGACCTTTGTCCCTCATAGCCCCTGCTTAGTCAAGTTCTGTCACTTCTATCTCCCTTTAAATTCAGCTATTCCAGGTGCCTGGGTGGCTCAGTGGGTTAAGCCTCTGCCTTCGGCTCAGGTCATGATCTCAGGGTCCTGGGATCGAGTCCCGCATCAGGCTCTCTGCTCCGAGAGGAGCTTGCTTCCTCCTCTCTCGCTCTCTGCCTGCCTCTCTGCCTACTTGTGATCTCTGTCTGTCAAATAAATAAGTAAAATTTTAAAGTCAGCTATTCCTTTTTTTTTTTTTTTTAAATTGAGAGAAGGAACACAAGCAGGGGGTGGGAGAGGGAGAAACAGGCTTCCCGCTCAGCAGAGAGCCCGATGTGGGGCTTGATCCCAGGACTCTGGGATCATGACCTGAGCCAAAGGCAAACGCTTAATGACTGAGCCACCCACGTGCCCCTTAGCCATTCCTTTTTTTCCCCTCTGAAATCTGTCCTGTCTGGGCTCTGCCTTGCTTTGTCCTGGCAACCCTCTCCCTTGATGTTCTTGACACTCTTGCTTTCCTGCTCTGGTTCCTCATTCTCTAGACCACCAGAATTTTCTTTCTGAAACACAGATCTGGTCATATTCCTCCCTTGTTATGAATCTTGAGTGATTCTCTGTTACGGGAGTAGAGCAAAAACAGTGTAGATCATGACCTGCTTGTTTTCTCATCATGACCAGAGGGACCAACCAGTAGGTAAATCCTTTCAGGTCCTTGTGCTCTCCTAGGGGTAGTGGCTCCTTAAGGTCTCATGTTACATTCTGTGTTTTGTCACAGGAGAAGTACCTTTATGTATTTAGGAGCCCATGGTCATGAAGAAAGGGTTGAAGGGGCCAGTGGATGGGGTTGTCATCCATCTGATGGTCAGGGTCAAGATGTGGGTGGCCTCTACTGCTCCTCCATTCTAGCTACCCAGCCCCTGTTGCTTATCTTTTCTGGTCATAAATTTGACCCTACTCTGTTTCAGTGGTTTGAAGAAACCACAGGTGTTCTTCCCCTGAGGGCTATGGCAAGTCAAAGTTTGGCCTCCTTTGTTCTACTTGTATATCCCGAGACCAGATTTTAATTTGACCTCCTTTGTAGATTAGAACACATCTTGTGTACTGTGTTTAGTTCTTGGAATATCCGTTTCAAAGAGGTTATTGGTAAAACTTAAGAGGAGGTGTCCGTGAAGGCGAAGAATTTAACAACTTCATCTGGTAAGGAAGGAACTGGTTAAGTGTAACCTGGGAAAGTATATTCTTGCTCAGGGCATGATAGATACTTTCACACAGTTGAAGGACTATTACGTGGAAAAGAGATTGGACTTACTGTATCACAGTTTCGGAAAATATAACCAGAGCCAGATCCTAGGCTGTTATCAGAGGTTATAACCTCAAACTCTTGGTGGAACTCTGTAGTCAAGACAAGTGGTGTTTCTGGACAGTAGTTGAGGACTGACGTTTTACATACTCTACTAGATGAGTATATTTGTTCCTTTGCCCTGGCAGGGCTTCAGGACCAACATTAGAGTTATTCAGAAAATCAAGACTTCCTGGGTCCCAGCTCACACTGATGCAGTCAGTAGCTTTGTGGGTAGGACCTGGCTTTATGTTCTCAGATTACTATCAGTAGCTCTCCACCTAAGGTAGACGGAGATGTGACTGGAAATATTTGAGGAGTTTTTCTAAATACGCATTTCTCCCCTATCCCTCACCTTGTTTTGTGATGGAGACTTAGAAGAGTGGAAGGTTATTGTGGGTACATCTATTGTGAATAGTATTATCAGGTGTTCGTAGTGCTTAAAACTACTGGAATAGGACATGATGGCCTCTTTTGTTTTTAAAATGCTCTACTATTCCTCCTTTCCCTGACATACTCTCCTCAATTTCTATTTTTCTGGATTTTCCTCTCAGCCTTACATGGTTCCTGAGGGGAAGGTCATGGGAAGCATTTACCATTGGGCCTGGCATATCAGTGGTTACCATTATTACAGTTTGGCAGATTTTGGTCCTCATCATTTGGTCCAGTTCTAAGGAAGGTCAGTGGAACGGACTAACCGAAAGAAAATGCCTCTCCCTATGGTTGGAACTGATCAAGCTGTGTGGCAACTGGAGAGAGAATTTACACATGGGTTTGCACTTTTCTTCCCTTTATAAGACCCTCAGATTAATGAGGTGTGGTAGTCAAAATATCATAATTATTGACACTTAAAGTTAGTACATATAATTAATATGTATATTTGTTAGACCAGAAAATAAAAATCAAAGAGATGAAGAGGTATATATGAGTGGTTTCTGAGCAGGCAATGGGTTAGTTATGTACATTCAAGTCATAAGATGCTTTCCCTTATAAGTAATAGGGAAAGAAGGGCTTAAATTATTTTTTAAAGCTGATATTAGCAAGAGTGTTTGATGCGAGGCTGCAAACAAAATCATGGGAGAAAACGTTAACACACACACACACTCGTGTACATACACAAATGTATACATGTAATTCATTGAAATTCTCCAAAGATTAAATTCTGGTAAATTAACTGGGAGCCGGTCCTGTTACCCTTGACATTATGCTATGCAGTTTCCACCAAATTGTGCAACTTCTTTGCAGGGAATTTCTCAAAACTTATGGTACCTAAATTTATATTTTTGGGAGTACTTGGCTCTATCCACACTGATCTGCTACCTTCTTAGCCCTTATTTCCATGAGGTCAGCACATCTTTCACCAAAGTCCATTCATTATATTCTTACCGTAATACACAGTTGACGTCCCTGTTAGGTATTTGGTGATTAATATTTACCATCAATTATATGGATTTTATTTTTACACCGAATCACTATGACTTGGAGAGATTCATGTGACTGCTTTATTTTCTTTTCCTTTTTGCTTGTTTTGATTATTCCTCGCTGTGACTGGACTTGCTTGCCACCTCAGCTTTTGGACATTATGTAATATAAACCCTGTTGCTCTCTCTGTGATTTTTTATTTTTTTAACCTAGGTTCTAAGGCCCTGGAATATTCCAATGGGATTTTTGATTGCCAGTCTCCCACTTCCCCGTTCATGGGAAGCCTGCGAGCTCTGCACCTTGTGGAAGACCTGCGTGGCTTGTTGGAGATGATGGACACAGATGAGAAGGAAGGTTTGAGATGCCAGATCCCAGATTCAACAGCAGAAACACTCGTCGAATGGCTTCAGAGTCAAATGGTAGATAATGGCACATTACAGATCCTGTGCTCTGAATCTCCTGTGGCTTATTCCAAAATTGAGAACATAGAGTAGCTGATTCGAGCAACAACAACAAAAAAGTACAGAGCAGCAGGTTCACTGATTTTTATCCCTTAATGCATCCCAGTTCCCTTTAAGGATAATGTTAGTGTACATTTCATGGGCTCCAGCCCATCACCTGATTTTGCCTCTAAAGGTGGACTAGCTTTCTTGGATGACCTGCTGTGGCCTAGAACAAATAGTCCTGTAAAGGAAAGAACCTTGCACGTAATAGATGCTTCCTTAGTACTATTGGAAAATTTACTGTAAAAGGACCAAGAGCAATTCAGATAGGAAGCAGAGTGAATAGAACCTCCAAAGGCAGCAAGGCGGAGGTCTGCAGTATCTGATAGGAAGTGCCATCTAGTGATCTGCGGGGGTCATGTCAGTTCTAGGGTGTGAGGGAAGCTGTAGAATTGGGCTTCCAATGGCGTTCTTCTTCCTCGAACAGCGAAGCCCCTTTCTAGGCATCTGTCTCAAAAATGGATGGTGTGGCGGATCTGCCCTTTCCCTGAACACATTGGTAAATACCATGGTTTTAATACATTTGGAACAAATAAAATCTAAAGAATGCCACTAAAAATATTGAGAGAAGAAGACAGAAAAAGTGTTCTTTCTGTAATACAAGTAATGCCACTGAACTATATGCTTAAGAATGGTAAAAGTGACAAATTTTCTGTGTATTTTACCACCACCAAAAATGAGAACATTATTAATACTGTGATAAAATTGATGGTTGGATTGTATCTTGGCATTTCCCAATGCTGGTGCTGGAGACAGCAGACCTGAATTTTGATTTTGGGGCTGTTTCGTAGAAGCTTGCATGATTTGGGGGAAATTTTTTAAGCTGTTTGTCTCATTTCCTCGTTTGTGAAATGGGGACAACAGCTTCTGCCGCACAGGATTGTGAGTCCCGGGAGCTAATTTATGAGTGCTCGTCAGTGAGCCTGGTAGATGAGTCAAAAATATAATACTGAAGAGATTGTAGAGAATGGAGGGAAAACTACGGGATCCATTTGCAAAGAGGGAAAGAAAGTGTTGGCTCCAATTCCGTGTTACTCCTACATGATTCACTTTTTTACAAGAGTACAGACATTTTTCAGACTATGGAGAAGCTTTTACAATATTTTAGAAACTTATTACCAGTTACATAATTAAGATTTCATTTATGTTTAATGATAGCCACCTTGGGAGTCCCATGTCCTTAAGACTGATACTGATCTTCTCATTAATGCCACTGGGCATTTGCAGTTCTAATTACTTTGTCTGGGCCAGGAGACCCCCTGGTTTCCTGTCAGGTGTCGCATCTTCCTACTGATTTCTGCTGCCTGTGTCATTCTTTCATATGATCAGAAGCTGGTTGAGAAGAAAGAAAATAGTCACATTAATAGTTTGTTACTTGTGAGGGGATATTAAATCACTAAGAATGAATTTGTTTGAATAAAGTAGCTCTAGCTGTAGCCTTCTAAACACTGACAAGTTTAAGACTCCGAAGTTCCTCTCCTGTGGTTAAAACAAACAAACAAAAACCCAAATCTGTTGAGTATGCCGTATTTGGTCAAGTACCGAGATAGAAGTATTATCCTGTTAATAGAGATATTAATGATGGAGAATTACATGCTTTATCAAGCTCTAAGTTCAAGAGGGCAAACAGAAAAATATGTCAAATTATTTGAGCCAAGCAAGCAGTTTCTGTTTGCTTTAGGTCTAACTCCATGAGTTGCCTAGAACATTCATACTATGCTTTCCCAATAGATGACATTGAGGATCATGACCTTGATCAGGGCATAAAATCCCACAAGTGTCCAGTTACTTAGCAGCTTTAATATGAGGCTTTTCGCAAAATCAGCAGAAATGACAAAAGTGCACTTTTCAGCAAAGTGAGTGGAACTGTGATAATAGAAATCCAAATCTGCATCGTGGCCAATAAAGTGAAGTGTTGCCTCACTGGCTTCTGACCTGATAAGTCACAATACATTTTCATCTTATTCCTACATTTAAAAAATAGGCCCTATTAATTGCAAGTGTATCTTTTAAAAAAGTTTTTAGAGCAATTTTCATAGAAATAAAAATACTCATAACTTCAGACTTGGGGCACATTCTCTCCAGTCCCCGACTCTCCGCCACATGACCCGTTCCAGGCCCACCGTCCCAAGAACCCCCCGCTGCTCTCTGCCCAGCTTTCCTTTTCATGTGTGTCTCCAGGGAATGTTCGTTCCAGCTTTGGCAAACAAGGCTCCTCTGAAGATTGGGTCACAGGGTCACAGATCATCTGAGTTCGGCAGTCTCTCACTGAGACATCCTAGCTCACGTGAAAGCCGCCTTCCCCCCTTCTGGTACCAGGCTTCTGGTAAACTCCCATGGAAAGTGTCCACAGATGCAGGGCAACAAATGGAGCGAGTCAGCAGAATTCTTGGGAGAAGCCAGCGCAGTGTGATAAGTGAGAGATGAGCTTTATCATGAAATCCCCAGCAACTAATGTTTGTGAGGACCGAATGGAAAGAGATGTGTCTGTTCTTTCATGAAAGCGAGTCAGGAAGGGCTAAGGGGCGGGAAAAATAAGGACAGCATTTTTTTCTTGATCTCATGTTCCCCTTCTCTTGCTATATGTGCATCCTGTCACATCGCTGGCTTTCAGGAAATATTGCATAAGTGAACGAAGAGTGGATGGGCACATGAATATCAGAAGCTACTCACATGGGAGCTGGGTCTTAGCTTCTAGGGCTCTTCTCGTTCGTCATTCTGGATCTCAGAGGGCTTTGGACTATCCCTGCAACCGGAATAGTGTAGTCTCAACATGTCCCTTTCTCCCGCCTGCAGAAGCTTCAGGGAACATGGTGGTGGGCATGAAAATGAGGTGAAGAAGGGCCAGAACGTGTCTCCCCTGCTCAAGTAAGGTGTCTGAAAGAACCTTTTAGGGGACACTAAACACATCTGTCAAACTCGGCCCTGGCCACGGAGGCATGGACAGGGAGCTGTGCCTGCATCAGCTGTGTCACGGGCTAGCCACTGGAGCTTGGCCACAGAGACCCAGATACCTCCAGGGACGCTCCCTCAAGATATTTCTAATGAGACCGGCAGATGAAAGCACTTGGCACCTGCTGCTCTTACAGGCATTTGAGATGGAGTTCCATTTTTGCAGTAGGGCATCCTAGAAGTTGGCCTGCTACTGGGATCCTTCTCACCCCCAGAACACTTGTTTCTTGCTCCCATTGGCTATTGAGTGAAGAAGATGTGTTCTGTTTCTGGAAAACAAGCACCGAGAAAAATTACAACCCAGAAATAAAAGCCATATTTCTGATTTTGACCACATCTGCTCTCTTGACTTGGAAAGTACAGGAGGTACTCAGGCTTACCCTGAGCTTTGGGCTTCGATGCACTTTCTGGCGACACTGAATAAACAGGCATCTTTTCTAGGAGAGGGTCACGAGTGGGCTTTTTGGGTGTGATGCTGTGTATGTGAGATGGATTTCTCCCTTTGGATTTCTTTTTGAGCAGACCTGATGAGATTTTGGAAGAAATAGACCGCTTCCTGAAAAGGTTGTCCGTATTGCCTCGGTATCATATTTATTTTTTAGAGTCATAACAGAAATTTCGGAGGAGACAATAAATGGGGTGTTTCAAGATTGATGGAGGCAGACCTGCTAGTACATAGCGTCATCAGCCAATCAGTGGGGACACTCCAGTGGGGATGCTCCAGTGGCTCCCAGTGACAGTGGTGTTGCCCTGAGATCATTATGCACGGCACAAGGTGAGAGCCTCACCGCCCTGATTCCATCACATTTGGTGAGAGGACAGGGGAGCGGAGTATTGCCGCCTGGTGGCTTGACTTCCAGTGCTCTTGACCATCACGTTCATTTATTCTTTGGACAGCAGCGTATGAGATTCCTTCTTGTGCTGTTAGGCCCCGGTGAAATGTGACTGTGGTGTTCGTGGCCTTCCTGTCTTTCTCCGTTTCTCCTCCTACTCCAGTGTCTGGTAGAGAGCAGGCAAACGAATCTTTGCATGCAGCGGTAGAGAGGTAATGCTGGTTAGGGTGCACGAGGCCCTGGTGTGAGAGGGTTCTTTGAGTGGCTGGAGATAAATTTAACCAAAGGAGGTTTAGAGGGCTGCGCCTTCCTTTTTTTTCCTTGATACAGAATTTTGAAAAATGTCATCATGAAATAAAAAACTGGATAGCAGTTTTTAAAACTAATTTAAAAAATAAGTGTATTGAGGGGCGCCTGAATGGCTCAGTGGGTTAAGACTCTGCCTTCGGCTCAGGGTCCTGGGATCAAGCCCCACATTGGGCTCTCTTCAAGTGGGGAGCCTGCTTCCTCCTCTCTCTCTGCCTGCCTCTCTGCCTACTTGTGATCTCTCTCTCTCTGTCAAATAAATAAATAAAATCTTTTAAAAAAATAAGTGTATTGACTTTGGTGGAGACTGTGTATCTGTGTGTGTGTGTGTGTGTGTGTGTGTGTGTTATAGCAGCAGTCCAACTGTTTCTTAACGTTTGTTGTCCTTATAAAATGGAATTGATTTTCTTTTCCGTGTTGTCATTTAGCTACTCAGCACTCTGATTTGGGAATGTTCTATTCAAACGGAGTTGTGTGTTACAACAGAAGTTAAGTGTAATTGTGGCAAATCACTGCTTGCTTGTTGGTTTGGGATTTAGACAGGACAGCAGAGCTCTGGAAAGAAGAACAAAGCAAAATGAAGCTGGGGAGAGAGGGGAGTCAACTGGAGACCAATGCAAACCAACAGAACTAAGAAAATTAAAGGAAAATATAGCACGATGCTTTAAGTAAAAATAACGGGCGAAACGTTCCTGCCTACCTTGAAGTAGTACTCCTTGATGCTGTTGTGTGATGGGTGCTTAAGGTCTCTACTTTCAGGTACAAATGAAATTTTGTATAATAAAACAGTTTTTGAAAGGGAGGCATGGGAGGCAAGATGCTAACATTTATTACATCTTTATACTTGATCATTAAAAGGAAAATAATATAAATAGAAGAGCTTCTATCTAGATGACTGTGGGCGAGGTATATTGTGCCTTTAACATTATATGGAGCATCTGCCGCGTGAATTCAGGCAACTCATATTCCCAGGGGTGGTTGCTGGCTAACTTTTGGATTCTATAATTCTGTAAGGAATAGAGCCGTTTAGACATTTTACCCGTATCGTGCCAGGAAAATCTGGCAAACACCATGAGTTCCTTAATTAAAGTATCACTGTTGCATTCGAGCTGGATCCCTTGCCTTGCTTTTCCCTCCTGAGTGTCCCATACCCTCCTCCACACACACTGTTAGTTGGCTACTGTACTATTGAAATCCCCAAGCCGATGCTGATTTTGACTTAAACTTTCAGTTGCATCGAATGTGGTCAGTATGGGGTTGTATCATGAGTGAAAGTAGGAAGAGTTATTTTGAAGGCATCTCTGGGATTTTGAGTAAAGTAATTTGAGCTGGTGTTCAGTGCTTTGGATGTCCAATCGACTCAAGGAGAGTTGATACTCAATGTGTTTTTAATTCTATGCCCATGATTTTATAAGAATCTTGGGAGAATCAAAAGAAATGTAAGATAGTTTTGCCTTGAGGGACCGTTAAGGAGAATAAGTGACCAACTCTCGTAAGGTCACGAGGAAGCCATCCATGGCAGAATATGGTGAAAAGCTAAGTGGTGAAGGACAAGACAAGACAGAGAAGGGAAACCAGTGTAAGGGGAGAAGAGAGTATGGCATAAGGTAAGAAGGAGGAGGTGAGAACTGGCTAAGAAAAATGGATCTGTAGAGGCAGAGAGGAATGATGGGTGAATATGGTGGTGGACACGCAGCCTTGGAGTAGATGTTGGAGTGGCCAGTGGAAGAAAGTTCACTAGGAGGAAGAAATTGAGAATGGTATGGGTAGAGGTGGTAATTGTAAGTCTCAGGGAAGCAGGACATTAAGGATCCAAAGGTTATGTGGAATAATGAGCTTTGAGCAGGAAGTAAGACTCAATTCCCCCAAGATGGCAGAAGAAAGGGAAGATGTTGGAGGCCATATATACTCTGCTTTGGAGAAGATAAGTATATAAGGGAGTTCATGCAAGATAGTCTCAAGTATAGTCCATTAAAAAGGCTCTGAAAACACCTCCTAAACATGGTAGCAAGAGGGAGTACAGGCTTCAGGTCAACCACGGAGTGAGAAGTGAGAGGGCCAACTTGCAACCAAGTGTTCATTCATCCTGTATTCATCTGATGGTTATTGAACACCTATCACTTGTTATTCATTCCACAGTCATTTGGTTCAAACTCACTGTGTGCCAGATGCAAAGGCAAACCTACTCACAAAGAAGGCAGTTTGTTGGAAGAGGGGAACATATATGTAGCCAAGTCTAACCTCATCTGTTCAGTGTGATGCCTGCCACGATGAGGGTTCATCTGGAATCTCTAACTGGCATATGAGTGAACAGGTAACTCAAGGAACACTTCACAGGCCAAAATACGGCCCATGCCAAAGGAATAGAATTCGAGAGTGCATGCCACATCTGGGGAGGTTTTGAGTGGTCTGGTTGGTAAAGCTTGGGAGTTGGAGGAAAAATAGAGGTGGTAAGGTATTTGCCTAATGGAATTTACCTCTTGCTAGCATTCGTAAGTCAAAGGTAACAGAATTGGTAGAAATATAAATAAATGTGTGAAGAGACTAGACTTTTACCTGCTTGACTAGGTCAACGCACTCCTTTAAAAGTATTTAACTACTCCATTGGTGATTCTTAACTTTGGCTTTGTTTTGCTGTGGTGACCTGTGGTCTTTTAAAAAAAGAACTCCTCAAGCATTGTGAGCTCTCGTAAATATCACTAGTCTTGAGAAGTGTGAGTATCCTCATTGTGAGTCAATTTTTAGTATTTTGATTTTAAGATCGTTTTGTGATACTGATTTTGGAACATCTGATTTCCATTTCAAATGCAGTAGCTTCGTGAAACCCTTCTAGAACTTGCTATAGCAACATTTCTAATCTTTTCATCAGAAGAAATAACAACTTTTGCTTTTTATCCTCAGTGAACAGAAACCTTTTTTTTTTTTCTACCTCATGAAATGTATCTGTTTATAAAAGTACATGGGGTTTTAAAAGCAGATGCCTGCTAACATTCATCATCAGAATGAGGAATTCAAAGCTGTAGAAGGCCAGTCTGAGTACTGCTTCAGATTGAGAACGTGTATCATACATCCTGGCTCTGTTCCAAAAAACTGTCCTTAAGAAATTATATAAATTTCATTTTCATGGTAGTCCCTGGGGTTGGAAGTCTTTCAGGCCACAACTTGTAATTGTATTTGGATACTTCAGTTTACAATATGAACAGAATTATGCAATGGTTATAGGGCAGGTATGTGGTCAAGCTGATGTTAAAAAACTTTATCCACTCTAAATACATGTTGCAGCCTTCCTCAATTAGCTTCTGATTCTTTTGTGGCCTCATGGGAAATGTATCCAGTGCATCTAAGTTTTTAGGAGCAAGATCCTGCAATGTCTTTTTTTGTTAGCATGTGCATGCACGTGTGTGTGTGCGCGCGCGCGCTCAACACATGCCTTTTATTAATCCCAGAATTTATATGGGAAACTGCATTATTTGGAAAGGTAGTATAAGAATACCAGTTAATTCTGGAAAATAATAGATGTCACATCTGCTGTGTCCTTGGGCGATAAGGTTGAGTTTGTGTTTCTCTGGTTTAAACCTGAAGTTATTTGCTTTTTTTTTTTTTTTTTTTTTTTGATGATTTTATTTATTTCAGAGAGAGAAAAAATGAGAGAGAGCATGCACAGGGAGGAGAGGGAGAAGCAGACTCCCTGCTGAGCAGGGAGCCTGATGTAGGACTCCATCCCAGGACTCTGAGATCATGACCTGAGCCGAAGGCAGATGCTTAACTGACTGAGCCAGCCAGGCGCCCCTGAAGTTATTTGCTTTCTTGATTGACCTCTGGATGGCCCTGTCTAACCAATTTGAGCTCCAGTGGCTTTTATTTCTGTTGTAGTTGAATGAGAATCAGGAAATTCTGTTGGGATTACCCGTCATATGATTATGAGCTATTTACATGAGATAACAAGGGACATATCAGATATACTGCTGTATTTCAAAATGATGTTTTTATGTTGTCTGCTCTCCGTGAGCCTTTTTGTGTGTCTCCTTAATGACTTTTATATATGAGACAGCTGAGAAAAAGAAAAATGTGACTCGCTTTCCCAATCGGTGTTTCCTTCGGCATTTACACCATGCGCAGACATGTCCAAATCTGATAAAAATGTGCGGGGCTGGAGGGAGGTGAAGAAAGTGAGCACGAGTCTAAGCAGAGCCCCAGGCCAGTGCTGTGGTTGCAGGATGATACCTGTTTCCAGGCTCTGCAGGAGCTCGGCATAACATAATAGACTTGAGCAAAGTCACGAAGAGTGAAGTCAGGATGGGAGCTAATAAAGTTCCTGATAAGGTGTGGATGGGGACGGCTGGGGGAAGTCGTTGTGGACTGCTTCCTAAGCTTTCAGTGGAAGGAAGAAAGGCTTCAAAGCTTAAGGGAAGGCTTGCCCTGAGATTTGGTCCTGAGTAGCAGGGAGGAAGCTGATGTGAGCTGCCCCCACAGCCTCCTCTGTAAAGACAGGCATTTGCAGTTCTGGGTTTGCAACTTGGGAGGAGAGGGGAGGCACGTAAAGGCAGCCCAGGACATTCTCAGTGCCCCCACCCAGAATTAGTAGCACAGATCATTCAGGTGGCATAAGGAATTTCTGCCTGACCACACACTCGCAAAACTTTGCATGACCCAGCTGTGCGTCCCTGCGAGCGACTGTTAGTAACCACTGTTCCTTTTAGGTCATGATTTTTCTGCTTGATGGGAACTTGTCTGGTTTGGTGATAACATGCCTACCATGCCCGTTTTACCTATTTTGAGGCAAATGGACCAAGTTTTAGTCTCGTGTTTTCTACCAGTGGCGGCAGAAGCTGGCTGAATTCTATTCAGGTTCCTTGGATTAAGAATGTATGCCATTTTATTTGTCCACAGTCGTTTCAGTTTTAAAGAGAGTCAAGCCTTACACACACTCCTTCATCTTTTCAGACAAATGGACACCTGCCCGGAAATGGAGAGGTGTATCAAGAAAGACTAGCACGTTTAGAAAATGATAAAGAATCTCTTGTTCTTCAGGCAAGTGATTTTTAACAATGCTATTCTTCCTCCACAACATATTTACAAAGACCATTTTAAATTGGGATGGCATATTCAGATACTTGGGAGCTGGATTGCTGATAGAAATAAGTGCTGATAGAAGTAAGTGTGTACACACAATAGGGAGTGGTGAGGACTGTGGCAGCACAAAGGTGTGCCTCCCCAGTCTAGAGTGAGCAGCCTCGGCCCCTCTGATGACAGCCACAGTGTCATCTAAGCTGACTTTCTGATCTGATCTGTCATCTTAGTTGATCTGGTGTTTTTAATTTACAGCATAAATTGCAATTTTGTACCACAGATTTTCATAAATCTGAATGTTTTTGAATCTGAATCTATTTAATTTTCAATTTTAAAAATGATCCCGTGAGCTGAACAGAAGTGAGTAGTGGAGTCTGGTTTAGTGGCTAAATTTGAGTTTTCTTCTTCTTAATGTTTTAAATGCACGACAAACATTTTTATTTTGATATTTTGAGCTAAGTAAATTGCAGTGTATTTACGGGATTGGTGATCATGGGGAAAAACTCACATGTAGTCCTTGACAGCTTCTCTTTCAAACATAACTCCATTTCCTCTCTTAATCTCTAATACTACCTCCCACTCCCATTCCAACCTCCCCAAAATGATGATCTATGCACATACCCTCTCGTATAAAATGGTTGAAATGATGTTAACCTATAACTACAAGGTATTGCATATCCCCAATCAGCCCTAACCTCCTTAAAAATTGGGAGTCCGCAGGTCAAGAAGCATCACTTAAATAGGATTGTAAAGGACTGCTGTCTTATTGACAGTTTTTTTTTTCCTTACAACAAATGGGTAGTGACATCATTCCAGTTTTTGTTCTATTTAGAGAAATAAAGTTTGCAGTGGGACCCAAATCCTTCCTAATCTATTGCAGTATTTTGCTCTAAATACAGGTAAGTGTGTTAACAGACCAGGTGGAGGCTCAGGGGGAGAAGATTCGAGATTTGGAATTTTGTCTTGAAGAGCACCGGGAGAAGCTGAACGCCACAGAGGAAATGCTGCAGCAGGTATGTTCAGAAGCCTTCACTGAGGTGGGGTTTTCTTGCTCACCTGTTTGAAGTTCTGCACTTGTATGTTGTGTCCCTTCAGATGCAGCATTGAAGTTCATGATTCACCAAGACTGGCATATTTTAAGCAAAAACCTAGGGTAACAGAGTCTCAAAACACATGCATACAATAGAAAATACAATTAGAATCTGGAATAAAATATTGATAGGATTATAGGTAGTTTTAATGTTCTTTAAATTTGCATATGGTTTCCTAACCCCCAGAGATGAGCATATATTTTATGGTTAAGAAAAAAGATACGTACCGTATGTGACTTTTACTGGGGAAAAAAAAACAAACCCAAACTTGTAATACACACACACACACACACAGTGCTCTTAGACGAGAGCACCTATAATATAGCGGGTAGGGTACGTACTGGAGGGAGACTGTTTCAGTTTGAGTCCTTGCTCTGCCACATCCTTGCTGTATGACCTTTGGCAGGTTTTCAGCCTCTCTGTTCCTCACCTTCCTCATTTGTTGAACAAGGATAATTCATGAGTTATCTTTAGTAGGAGTTTCTACTTTAGAAGGTTGTTTTGAGGATCGAACCACATCAGAACAGTGCCTGACGCAGAGCGACCCTGTCAGCATCAGTGTTCTCATCAGGCTTTGACGCATTTAAGATTTCTGCGTATTAGAGCATGTACGTCTCCCCAGGAAGCCAGCGCACACTTAGTTCTGCTCAATGAAGCTTCACAGAAGCAGATAATTTTTTCAAATTTTATCTGTTTAGTGATTAATCTTTACCACATTCCCGACTTGATAGTTACTGCTTTGCAGGGGTAAGACACAATCATATGTGGTGATTTGTAATAAAACAAGTTTTGAGTGTATCTCTTAAATTCCAATAGGAGCTTCTGAGTAGGACATCCTTAGAAACTCAGAAGTTGGATCTGATGGCTGAAATATCTAACTTGAAGCTTAAACTGACCGCTGTGGAGAAGGATAGATTGGATTATGAAGATAGGTTCAGAGACACGGAGGTAAGTGATACCCTCCCCCTTACATACATATGCATGTGTATATGTCATACACATATTTCCAGAGCAAGTTGAAATTCCTTGTAGGCATGAGGGGGAGGTAGTTAATTACTACATGCTCTCGTTCATCTGTGCTCCTTTTTAGGAATAATCTTTAATTACATTGGCTTTTTTACATTGACTTTTTAATCACTAAATGCTCATGGCAATATTTATTGTGAGACTTTTTGTTGTTGTTCATAACCTTTTTTTAAATTGTGAGACTTTTGATATGAAATTTTAATCCTTTCATTAGTCTTTAAAAAGAACTTTTCACTTTGTGACATTTGGAGCTTCTCTCTGTTCGTCTGCCTGTCTGTCCTCCTGTCCATCCATAGTGGTTTTCTTCATTATGGAAATAATGGGTTTAAGTGTATCACTTTACTAATAGCCATTTTTAAGTTGTACTGATTATTTTCTATATAATAAGTAAGTTTGAAAATACGTACAGAGAACATGCTTTTATTATATAATCATAAAGTCAGATTTTTAGAGTTTATTTAGTTTGGCCTTCTACTTTTGGTCTCTTCCACACATAAATCATACCAATTAAATAAAGCTCGCTATACTTTTGTGAAATTTGGGATAGATTCTACAACTTGAAGTACCCATTTTTGTGGTTAAACATGTTTTGTTCTTTGGACTGTTTTATTGTTAATCTGGGTCTTTTATTTGCTTATTATTTGTTGCTGGGAAAAGAGATAATATCCGTTTGAAATCTGTTTATTTGGAAAAAATTTGAAGATCTGCAGGACTCCCTTATCTCCCAAGGACATCTCTTCCTTTCTCTCTCTCTTGTTTCCTCGGTTGGAGTATGCAAAGTTGTCATACTGCATTAGAAACTGGGTCCCAAGAAGCGGAGAGGAGAGCTCATTTAAGTATTCTTCCCCCTCTGTTTTCTTTGCACACGTTTCTTTGAAGCCAACTCTATACCATCATGATAACGGGGTACCTTAGGTATGTTACCCACTGTGGGCAAGTCCCGCATAGACTGGCTTTAGTGAGATGTACTCCATTGCTATTTTCCAAATTAAATTTTCTGCCAAAATGGAACTGTAATGGAAAGTCTTGGTGTATGTGTTACTTCCTCAACAGCAAAAGAAAATCCCCAACTTAGTTCACGTTTAATCTTCTAAAGTTCTTTGTCAGTAACCTATATGAGCATGTTCCTCACTTGATTGAGGCTGGGGCTCTTAGAACAGAACTGAGAAAGTCACCCAGTTTCTCTAAAATTGTCCCTTTTGTGCTTTCTTGAAAAAATCCGTTTGGATATTTTCCTCTATTTCCTCTCTGTCGTTCCCTGACTCCGCACTTGCTGCATAACATGACAGAGTTCAGTCAACAGATGGACAGTGTGCCATAGAGGTTACTGTGGTGCAGGGAAAGAAGTTGCAGTGTTCTGGTCAAGAGTTGGCCCTTTCCCTTGTGTCCATAAAGTTGAGGGGGAGTCAACCTGCATGACTGGTTAATTTGGATCTGGGATGTTAACCAAGCGTTGGGACTAAATAGAAGTGGATGTGTTAGGATTTTTTTGTAAGACTCCAGAGCAATAGTCACATCTCTTGAGTTTGTCTGCATTTTTTAAAAAAAGATTTTATTTAGCTGAGAGAAAAAGAGCGCGTGAGCAGGAGGAGGGGCAGGGGGAGAAGGTGAGGAAGAATCTCAAGAGACTCTGTGCTGAGCGAGGAGCCTGTCGTGGGGCTCGATTCCATAACCCTGAGCTGAAGATCAAGTCAGAGATGTAAGCGACTGAGCCACCCGGGTGCCCAGTCTGCATTTTTTTAATAAAACTTTTTTTTCCTGGTGCTTCCTTCCTTCATTCATGCATTTTCAATCATAATCAAAGTGATCCTGTCATCAAACTTTCTGTAAACTCAGTCCTTGATAATTTTCTAATATTTTCAACACTATTGGTAAAATACCACATGCATATCTAGAGATTATAAACTATAATCTGATCAACCTCGTTACATATGACAATAAATAAAATAGTCCTCAAAATTAAAACCGAATTGAATATGCTCTTTCCTATTATTGTTCCCTTAATAAAATGTTTGGGGGGCCCCTGGCTGGCTCAGTCAGTAGAGCGTGCAACTCTTGATTTCAGGGTCATGAGTTCAAGCCCCAAATTGGGTTGGAGCCTCCTTTAAAAACAAACAACAAAAGTTTCCCTGGCTGTTTTATGAATCCAAAATTCCTTAACTTTGTCTTAGAATTTTAGATTATTTGGAGATTAATTTCTAAGAAAATATTGGAGTGGGGAAGAAATATAAGCACTTCTGAAAGATTAGGGGTAAAAGTCTTGAAATCCTGGAATTTTGAAGACTTGCCTGGAATGGCTGATAGGAGATGCTTAACACTATTCAACAGTGCCCCCTTCTGGTAAGAGTACAAATGCCAGAAATTGCGTTTCTGTGGAGCCTGAAGAGTTACTTGGAGAGGGAAAAGGGACTAGTAACTGGGATTTTCTTTTCATAAAGAACTGAATTGGAAATAATTTGAATTCCATTATTTTAAAGTCTTATATTAAGGAGCTATTTCCAGACTTTCCAGCTTGAGTGACTATGGAAAAACAGGACTTCTTTCAGGTTGGGATTTATATTCATACTTACAGTGTTGCCAGAAGGGAAATTTGGGTAGGGTTTGTTTGTTTGTTTGTTTGTTTGTTTGTTTTTTAATAGAAAAATTATCTCAATTTATAATTCTGTTTTCTTCAGTTACTTCTTTTTGCAAGTTGTCACTGTTTCTAAAAGAAGTGGTAAAATAAGACAATACCAAATAGGAATTCAAAGCTGCTAACCATGAAAAAGTGGCAAGATATATATTTAAAAGACCAGGAGATAAAGGAAGGTCACTAAGAATTCTAGTATGGGATTAATAAATGGGAGATTAATTACTGGGAGATAAATTAATAAATGGGATTAATAAATGGGAGATTAATTACTGGGAGATAAATTAATAAATGGGATTAATAAATGGGAGATAAATGGGATTAATAAATGGGAGATAAATAAATGGGAGAAACTGACTTTTTCCTTAGACTTGAATTCTGAACCTGTAGATAAGGAATCACAACTAAAATGTTATTAAATGATGTCAAACAGTTCCTGACCTCATTCGTGAAAGGAGAAAATAGCTGTTCCCTTACTGAGGTACTGTATTAATAAACAATTGTCCTAGGGGCACCTGGGTGGCCCTGTCAGTTAAGCCTCTGACTCGATTTTGGCTCAGGTCAGAATCTCATTGAGCCTTGCCTAGGACTCCATGCTCAGCAGGAGTCTGCTTGTAACATCTCTCCTTCTTCCCCTCTCTCTTTAGAAAAAGAAAAAAGAAAAAATAATTATAATAATAACTAATGAGTAATTATTATATAGTACTGTTAAGTAATTTAGGAAAGGCATCCCTTTCCCCATATGTGAATCATTACTCATAGAAGTTTAGTAAGAAAGTTTTATTTCTTATGGTATTTTTTCTTTTTTATGGCATCTTTGTATAATTCTGTTATCTGCTTATTTGTGGCTCAAGAGTAGAGGACTTGTAAAATGAGGAATAAAAACATGTTAACCATTGGTGGGGTCTTGATGGTTTGTAATAAAAAAAGAAATCCTTTCCACAGTATTTGAAGTTTGTATTGCGTGGCATTCTGATTCCCTTTTCCTACCGTCTGGGCTCTAGACAAAAATATGTTACTGTTTCTTAGAACACTTAGACAAGTTTTACAAGCAAATTAGTTTATTTTTTTTTGTTTTGTTTTGTTTTGTTTTTTAATGTGAAAGAGAAAAGCATCTGGCTGTATTTGTATTATGAAAACCTTAGGATTATTTTCTTTTTCCTGTTCTGATTGTAACATTCATGTTATGACAACGTATTTGTAAATCACAGGGCCCTCATCCACCCACAAGTTGAGAATCCTTGGTTTAAAAGGTTTACATTTCAAAAAAAACAATAAAAGGATTTAAATTCCATTCCATTCTCCCAGACTGGGTTGATGAACAATCTATATTTTTGTTAGACAAAGGAAGAAATTGTAAAAATGTTTTTATAAATAACCCACAGATCACTGAAAAGGCCCTAAAAGTAATGGCTTTACTGAAGAAAATTTTTCTAGTTAATTTTTAAAGTCGGAATCTATTTGGTGATTTTTAGTCCAGAAATAGCTGATGGTTGATGTATGCGATTAGCTACCTTTGTTAATCAAAATTGAAAGTCACCTTTTAACTCTTAAGCATAGGAGACAAACTGAGGGTTGCTGGAGGGGTAGTGGGTGGGGGGATGGGGTAACAGGGGAATGGGCATTAAGGAGAGCTCCTGATGTGATGAGCCTGGATGTTATATAAGACTAATGAATCACTGACCTCTACCTCTGAAACTAATGATACATTAATTAATTTTAAAGAATTACCTTTGATTTCCATAATCTCATGTTTGTAGGCCAGATGCATGGAGAATTTAAAATAGTGTTTTAACTAGAAAGATGCTTTGGGTCTCAGGGAGATACATTTATTTCCATTTGTGTGATCCAATTCATACAACCCGAACCCAGGGGCTTGTTGACTTTAGGTCTCCAAGCTGCTATTTTGGCCTACATAGGTGTGTTGCTACTTTCCTAATGTGTTTCATTGTTCCTTCTTTGACAGGGGCTAATGCAAGAGATCAATGATTTGAGGTTAAGAGTCAGTGAAATGGACAATGAAAGACTTCAGTATGAAAAAAAGCTGAAATCAACCAAGGTAAGTTTTCTCAAAGGTAAAAATTTGTAAATAGCCTGACTCACTTATCTATGATCCATAATACAAGTTCTCAACTCAATAGATGATAAAGAAGTATCTTACAAGTGAATGAAATTTCCCCCCAAGCTGGAGACTTTCTTGAATTTGAACACCACTATTCTGAATTTTAAAAAATTGGGGTTTTAACTAATCTAGTGAAACATAGCCTGTTATTTCTGTTAGTTAACCTAACCTTCTTTATAAGCCGATACTATTTTCTTGGATATTTAGGCTTGTCTTTTTCTATCTGTGGTTTCTTTCACACCTCTGTCTCTCTACCAGTCTTTAATGGCCAAACTTTCTAGCATGAAAATCAAGGTGGGTCAGATGCAGTATGAAAAGCAGCGGATGGAACAAAAATGGGAGTCACTGAAGGTGTAGTAGACTTTGGGTAATGGGGTCCTGGGCCTGTTTGCTTTCTGGCTTGCGCTGTTTTGCCTTGATAGTGTTTTTAGTAGCATGTGCATTCATCGTGTGTGTGTCATCTGTTTTTTTAAAAATACATTTAAAAAAGCTGATGGAAGGGACAGTGTGATCCCTGACGTTGTTTTCAGAAACATATGAAATAATTAATGAAAAATAATAAATGGGCAAAATAAAAATACTCATTTAGAAATTTGATCTCACCCTCTTAGAGTACCTGAGATCCAAGCTTGGTAAAATAGTTGTAAAAATGCACCTGGAAAAAGATATCCATTTTGCATCAGACTGCTTCTTCCTTTGGGACTTTCTTACAGGTTAACTATATCGTGACTGTGAGTTGAAATTACTGCTGTAAAGAAGCTTTTTGCCAGTGCTACTGAAAATTCCTTGTACTTGGGATCCGTGCCTATCATAAGTAAAAAGTATAGGGCCAGCTTTCTTGCTTCTTTGGAGATCTTCTCATAGTACTAAACACAATACCTACATTAAGAGACTGAAAATAAAATGTTTATCAGTTATAAAAATACACTTATTAGCACTGCATAGCTTTATTTTCTGTGCTAAAATACAGCCAGCAAAATTTCAGTTTGCTAAAGCTAATTCTTCACCAAAATTAAACTGAAAATTTAACATTAGTAAATAGGACTTGGAATCTTTAATAGCTACATAGTAATCTTTGGAATCTTTAATAGCTACATAGTAAAAAAGAAGCGGGGGATTTAAAATCTGTTAAATCTTTTTTCCATTGCTTTGGGAGACTCTGTCCTTTTATTTTGGTGATGAAGATGAATTAGTTAGTCCCATGATTTGGCTAACATTGTTCATCACTTGCTAGCTTACCCATCAATTAAGCTCTGCCTTGTTCATGTTCAGGGAACATGAATGCCATCTTGAAATACTAAATAAATCTCAGTCAAGTCTTGATGTACATTTTCCAATTTGCATTTTATTTTGCTTTTATGACACTCGGGGTCTAATTTGATTATCATCCTTGATTAACTGGGGGAGATTTTTTTTTTGTTTAACATAAGCTTTAAAACTTAGGGCTACTCAGGTCCTAATTACACTTTAAAGCATTTTGTTTTAATTTGGTCACACAGAAACTTGAAACACTTATACCAGAATTATTAGACATTGACCTTCATTAATTGTCTTGCTTCCTGCTTCCTATTGCCACTGTCTGGTTTCTGAAGTCTGCATCTAGATTCCTATCGTTTTTTTTTGTTTCATTCCCAAAAACTCATTATTGACTTAAAGAGTTAACATGCTCCCTGAATATTCTCCTTTAGTCATAATCCACTGTTGTAAAATGAGCTTATCATTTGTAGGACGAACTGGCATCTTTAAAAGAACAGCTAGAAGAGAAGGAATCTGAAGTAAAAAGGCTACAGGAAAAATTGGTGTGCAAGATGAAAGGAGAAGGGGTGGAAATTCTCGATCGAGGTGGGTACATACATTTGACATTTGTTCTCTTACTTTGTTAGAAAATCCCTGTGCAGCCCTCCCTTACTCCCCACACCTGCAAAAGAACCCTGTGTCAGTGGTGAGTCCTTTCAGAGAAAGGAGAAGGGTAGCAGAAACCAGCTGAGGCAGGACAGCAGGGCCTCCTCCGAAACTCTTCCCTGTGCCTGGGGATCTAGTAGCTTCCTCTTCAGCAGCTGGAGGAGGGCAACTCCGTACTTTATGCGGTGTTTATTTTAGATTACTAAATTGTAAATTCTGCCGAGACAGTTCTTGTTCAGATGGCAATACAAGGAAGTGACAGAAAGCATTAAAAGGGAACATTATCATGTCCCAGGATTATCTTCCTCTGAACTGAACTTGAAACAGCACGAACTAAGAGATTTAGAAACCGTTCCTACCCTTTTGAGAGAAGAGAGGAAAGGACTTTGCATCTTTGGAAAATCAATGAAAATTTCTTATCATGGATTGAGCCCTCGACCTGCTAGAAAGCAAAAATAATCCTCTTTTTTGAAAACATGTGTGAATTTATCAAAAATTTTTCTCGTAACTGAGGAAGTTTGTCTTGAATATTGTATGGACTGTCATGTTTAATACACGTTATATGTGATAGAAAATAACTTGAATGAAATGTGTTTTTTATGTTATATTTGGAAATATAAATGCACAGAACACCTGACAACACTAGGTTTGATTTAACCTTTCTTTGCTATTATAAATCACTGTGGCATGCAAGCTACCAAATCAACTTCTGACTCTTGAAACTAAAAATTCCATTGAGTGTAGCTTTAGTACATTTTTATGGGAGCATTGGTAACCTCACTGTCTGAACAATGAAGGGCTTCAGTTAGGTTACCTATAATGTCTTTCTTGGTTCTAGAATACCCTGGCTTTATATCCCTGTAGTTGCAGTTCCCTATGGATCAGAAAGCTCAACTCATCAACCATTGAAGGATTTTCCCCCCTTGTATATTTTGGCATATAATAGAATTCTGGCGTTGTGTTTTTTTGTTTTTTAAGGAAGCTCTCCAGTCAACATGGTGTTGGAACTCACCACCCCGAGATCAAAAATTACATACTATACTGACTGAACCAGCCAGGCATCCCTAGAATTGTGTAGTCTTTAAAGGACGTTCACAGATAGGTCATGCCTTTAGGGTTTTAAGAATAAAATGGAATCCTGTTGTGGGCTAGAAGACATGTTGGAGTAGTATGCCCAAAGACGGACACTGGTCTATGAACTGCTTATCGCCAACGCACAGCCCGATAAATACAAGGGTCAGGAGCAATGTTTAGAAACTTCATAGCAATCTGATGTTGGCATAAGATCTCACTGCGTGATCAGTGGATTCATCTCATTGAATGGGAGATAGACCGTGTCAGAGTCATTGAATTTGAGTGGTGAGGTCCATGTGTCATAAGCCAAGTGCTGGGCACATTCAGGAAAGCCATGTGCTGACCTGTAATGGAAATGTTACAACCAAACATCACTAATGGTGTTTTCACCCCGTAGAATATAAGGACTGCTTGTATTCCACAGACCTAACTTTAATATACCAGGAAATCAGGGTTCACAGAGAAGAAGTGAGAGAGGTAGGAACTCAAATCTAGGTCTTTGGATGAATTATATTTTCTTTCTAACCTTACACAGAGCATCATGCATTGCAGTTCCATTCCTAAAGCCACAAAATAGTGTTTAATATTCAGTTTTTATAGGGTTAGTTTCTTTATCTTAGGCAAAAGACTAAATAATAATACTTTTAAAATATTTATTGTTGTAATATATATACTAACTTCCAATTCGATGGGTTTTCCTGCACAGATGAAAATTTTAAAAAGAAGCTCAAAGACAAAAGTAAGGTTTTTGGTGTATTTCCATCAGCCTTTACATTCACCAAAAGTACTACTTGGACTGTTCTTTGCATGTGTTTTAAAAACATTTCTCTCACCAAAGATGTGAAGTTGCTTCATCGATAAGCTCTCCATTTCTTCTGAGTGCACAAAATAGAGGGTAAATAAATAGTAAAAACAAGGAGTAAAAGGTCATTTTGCTGATTTTTTTTTTTTTTTCTGACTCAGCCCTTTTGCTCCACAGGGTACAGCAGAACACCCAGAGTAGCAGAGGTGAGGAAGAATTTTCTTTGTAGTTCAGGAGACAGAGTGTCAAAGGAGAAAATTACTTTTCAATGTTTTGTAGCCCACTTCTTCCCTGAGATCTACATTAGGAACTAAACATACCCTGTTGGTGTTAGGCAAGAGATTGTACCCAGGCTGATTAACAGAACCCAGATTATCTAATGCATCATCGAGATAAATCATTAATTAATAGGCTCTTTCCTCCAGATGTTGAATTCTTATGTCCAGAGAATTGGGCATAAAAAAAAAAAAAAAAAAACAATTTCTACAGAATATACCTTCATATTGAAAATGTTGCATCAGTGATGAATGATGCATTTTAAAACTTACCTTAAGTAGTAATTTGTTTTTTTTTTCTCAGAAGCAGGTAACCTTAGCTCAATTTTTTTTCTGTTTGAATTTTTTAAATTTGTGATTTTGTTTTAGGTTGACATTTCATCTTAAAATATTGGTTCTTTTATTATTAAAGTAATGTGCTTTTATATTTGACTGTTAAATTTTAAGGAGAATCACATTTATCTTTTAAAATAGTGTCGGAAATGATGTTTATAGATGAAGCAAAGTACTTATCCTTCTGTATGGAACCTACAACCAACTTCATAGCATGACTGCTATAGATGCCACATTCCATCAGGCTCTTGCCATTCATGTCTCCATCTTGGTTAAAACTGAGTATCCTGTCCTCTGCTTATGTCATCATGTACACCGTCCATCGCTTTCACCCACTGCTTTCTAGGTTTCTTTTTTTTTTTTTTAATGAAAAACTGTGTTTTCGTGGTTGTAGCACTGAAATTTCACCTTCCGTGTTCTCGTGAGGATTTTGTTGTTGCTTCGAGAGAGGGTAGTTAGTTCTCACCCTTATTGTTTGCTTTCTGGAGTGATGACTATTCAGGTGACATGGAAGGTGTTCATTTTTCAGATTTTCCCCAAAAGAGGATATAGATGGTAAACATTTCATTAAAACATTTCAGTCTGAAGAGTCAGCCCCTTGTTATTGTCACACACGTTAACAAAACTGACTTCTGACATGTTCTTGTGATATTTTCAGATATTGAAGTGCAAAAAATGAAAAAGGCTGTGGAATCTTTGATGGCAGCAAATGAAGAAAAGGTATCTAGATGAAATTAAAGTATTTATGTGGGTGTGTACCATTTTGATCATTCCATGTGTTTTCTTGAGATATGTCAGGTTGGAAGAACCCTACATATTACTGACATTGAGGGACAACCGTTCTCCCTTTCTACCCTCATGTGCCTGCTCTCAGTGATGGCAGTTGTCATTGTGACTGTGTGGGTAGAGCAGTGACTGGCAGCACTGGGTCCACTGAGATCTCTCTCCCCCACCTCCCTGTGAATCTGGAAAAATGTTCAAGCCCTCAGATCATTTCTTTATATTCAGGTGGGAAATGAGAAAAAGGATACAGTCCATAGTGCATCCTTTCTGGGCTAGCATGAACTCTAAAAGGGGTGGCCCATGACAGCTGTTAGCTTCCTGATGAGGTTAATTTTCTTCATATATTTTCTTCACACTCCTGGATTCTTTCACATGAGGGATTGTCTCTGTTCTCCTGAGAGGTGAGATACGAGAACAGAGGCATCAGCACCATGAAATAAAACATGGCCCTACGCTGTCTTTTAGCTTTGTTGGCCAAATGCCAGGGACTCCAGAGTCTTCTTTCCTATTGTTTCCCTGATTTCATTCTGCTTAGAGCAGGGAAACAGTGTCCTCTAAAGCAAGGTGTTTCTTCACGGCCTACCTGATCAGCCATATATCCAGCGGACAGCAACAGTCGGGCTCAGCTCCCATCATCAGAACTACTCTTACCTCATGTTACTCAATGAATAGAACAAGGAGGCATTTTCCCAAGAAAAGAGTCATTTCAAGGAAGTAAAAAAACAAGCAACTGCCAAAGAACTTTGCCTTGATCTTTTTGTCTCATCTTGTTTCTTTCTCTAATTCTTGTGTTCTCTGTTTTACTCTGTATTTTTGCCTTTCATTCTCTTTATTTGCTCTTTATTAGGAAATAAACTCATTGCCCTCTCCACCCACCTGTATATAGGTTTCTTTTTGCTAGTCTTTCCCACTATGGAATAAAAAGGAAAGAAAGTCATTAGCAAGGGGCCCATGTAGTTTTAATTTTTTTTTTTTAAGATTTTATTTATTTGAGAGAAAAACAGTGAACAGGGAGCTTGATATGGGGCTTGATCCCAGGACTCTGGGATCACGACCTGAGCCCAAAGGTAGACACATAACTGACTGAGTCCCCTAGGTGCCCCCATAGCTTTTACTTTTAAAAAAGTAATCACAAATTCATTTAGTCTTAATTTCTCTCTCTCAAAAAGCATCAGTAACAAACAAATCTCCCAGTGTTGACTGAGGGCTTACTAGACATTCAAACTGCTTTAGGAGCACCAAAGCTGACATAAGTTTTTAGTAGTTCCATAAGGCTTCAAAGAGGTCGCATTTGAGCAAAATCTGAGGAAAGGCAAGAGTTAAGAGTTGTTCATCAGGAAAATGAAAGCTTCTAAGGAGAGTATTTACAAACCAAACATGTCTCAAAAGCCAAGGCTTGGAACAGCCCAGTGCATGTTGGGAAAGTTCAGAATGAGATAAGGTAGAGGGGTATATGAAGCTGACATTTACACAGGTTGACAGGATTTTTTAAAAAAATTTTTTGGATTTGAGGGCTCGTGGGTGGCTTAGTTGGTTAAGCACCTGCCTTCGGTCAGGTCATGATCACAGGGTCCTGGGATTGAGCCCCACATCAGGCTCCCTGTGGGAGCCTACTTCTTCCTCTCCCTCTGCCCCTTCCTCCTACTTGTTCTCTCTCACTCTCACCCTCTTTTTGTCTCGAATAAGTAAAATCTTTGAAGTATTTTTTTTTTTTTTTTTTTTTTTGGATTTGAGAACAAGTTTCTAGTTTGAGTAATGAGGTGAATGATAGTGTCCTCAAAGAGTTAATGGAATCTAAGCTCAAGTACCAGGGGCAAATAATGAGCTTAATTTTAGAGACATTCACTTTGATGTGTTCATGGGACTTTTAAAAGGAGATTTCTCATAGAAAGTTGGAAAATGAATCTAAATTTGGGGGTTAATGTATAATTATAGATTGGGTAGGGAATGAACCCAATCAATTTTAGGAAAAGTACAGAACTGTAGATTTTCGGAGACTAAGCTGTAGTTGATATGTAAGTTAGCTTTTGCTCCATGACAAATCACATGTATTATTTCTCATACTTCTGATGGTTGGTTAGGGGGTTCTCCTGGTCTGGGCTGACTTTGTTGATCTCTGCAGTTAGCTGGTGGGTGGGATGGGGCTGGATGGTCTAGGCTGGTATGACTCACATGTCTAGTGATTAACACTCTTGCATAAGCTGGGCCCATCTGGGATGTCTCTTTTCCAAATGATCTCTCATCTTCCATTAGACTAGTCTGTGCTTCTTCACATAGTGAAGGTTCCCTGGAGCAGAGAGAGAGGGCAAACCCTAACCACATTTGTTGATATCTCTTTAGCCAAAGCAAGTCACATGGCCAGGTCCAAAACCAGTGAGTGAAAAGCTAGGGAACCCATTTTTTTAGAATCCACCAGAGTGGGGGTAAAGGACAAAATCTTAAAGCACTAACATTTTATAGACTGGGCTGGGTAGATAGTGGGGATAGTGGAAGTAGAATATCTATTTGGTTGAGGAATTAAGAAATCAAAATAGAAGAAAAGAAAGAGTGGAAAGAAAAGTGAAGGAGAAAGAAGGAGGAAAGAATGGGGTCAGTCAAGTATCAGAGGTCAAATTAGAAAAAGGATGAAAAGTTCTCTTATTTTTAGTAAATATGAAGTCTCTGATGACTAACTGGTACAACTTTGGCTGAGTGTTTTGAGAAGAGAAAGGCCAGATTGTGATTGATGACAGCAGATAAAGACGACAGGTGTAGATCTTTCTTTCAAGACATGCCCATAAGTTGGAGAGGAGAATAATTAAAGTTGATTTTTTCTTGTTTTGTTTTTGTTTTTGTTTTGTATCTTATTACCTTGTTTTGTTTTTGTTTTTTAAAGATGGCAGCTGAAGGATAGGATCTCTAAATTTAGAGGTACTTTTTCTCTATCTCTGATATACGTAGGAAAACTATTTTAGATATTACCAGTTTTACTAAAGTTTAGAAATATTCCTTGAATAATGTAAATAATTCATGTCTCCCTATTCTTTGTGTTGCAATTACTTTTACTGTTTAAGGTCATAGTTTAAAGATGACAATTTATTTTATTAATAGGATCGGAAAATAGAAGATCTTCGACAGTGCCTGAACAGGTACAAGAAAATGCAAGATACAGTGATACTGACCCAAGGTAAAAAAGGTAGTGTAGCTCTATAGATTTTTCTACTTTACTTGATTTTAAGTGGCTATGAACTTTAACATTTGGTTTCATTTTCCTGGAATATCCATTATTCCAAAATAATTCGTTTGTTCATTCATTGAACAGTATCATTAGGAAACAATATCACACACTTTCTTGGTGAGTAGGCCAAAGAGAATACTGTGGACTGGTTGGTCAAGGAGAACCTCTGTGTGGAGTTCATCAGATAGCATTCTAGACAGAACAGTGTGTTCTAGAGCCTGTGGGGAGGGGCATCTGAGTGGCTCAGTGGGTTAAGCGTCTGCCTTCAGCACAGGTTATGATCCCAGGGTCCTGGGATCGAGTCCTGCATTGGGCTCCCTGATCAGCAAACAGTCTGCTTCTCCCTCTACCCTTCCCTCCTGCTTATGCTTTCTCTCTCTCTCTCTCTCTCTCTCTCAAAAATAAATAAGTAAAATCTTTTTTTTTTTTTTTTTTTTTTTTTTTTTAAGAGCCTATGGGGAAAATGGGCTTGGTGTATTTAAGAAGTAAAAAGACCATTGTGACTGACTGGAAGGTAGTGATCAGGGAGAGAATGAGAGGAGATGAGCCGAACGGATAGAAGTTAGCGTTGGCCAGGTCAGGCAATGTGAGGCATTCTGCTCTGTGAGCCCAGAGGGATCCACTGAAGGGTTTTTACAAGTCCGTGGCATCTTCGTAACAAATGGACCATACTGGGAGGAGGGAGCAGTATCGGAAGGAAGGGAAGCCAGTCAAGAGGCTCTCACAGGATTCCAAATAGAATGTTAATAATGGTACTGATTAGAAACATATTTTGGTGTTCGAACTAACACAGTGGTGTGATGAATTAGATGAGAGTGAAGAAGAGGAAAGAATCAAGAAAGATTGACATTTTTGACTAAAGCGACCAGGTGGGTGATGATTCCATTTACCAAGGTAGCGAAGCCTGGTGAGGGTGCACTGAAATGATTAAGGGGGATTGTGTTCAGCTTTGAATGTGTTAAGTTAAGACATAAAATAAAATAAAATCAAAACCATAAGACATCTAAGTAAAAATAGTCACGCTTTGATGGGGATTAAGGAGTGCACTTGTTGGGATGAGCACAGGGTAATGTTTGGAAGTGCTGAATTACTATATTGTACACCTGAAACTAGTATTACACTGTATGTTAATTAGAACTAAAAGCTTAATAAAATAGTTATGCCTTTTGATGTGGTATTATTTTATCTGTGCATGGTCCATTTGGCCATCCTCAAATGTGGAAAATCTCTGGGGGTCATTTAAAACAAAAGTGTTAAGAACTTTGGAATTTTTATTGTTCATTAGCAATGCAAGGTGGGCTATTTGCTCTAAAAGTAAACATGAGTAATAAATTTTTTCGGAGATGCTTGTGAAATACTCAGATTTTGGAATTTCAATTTCGATGAGTTCAAAAAGAAAGAAAATCCTACTTCAGACGGGGATTTCTGAGGGGGAAAAAAATGGATCTTCATCTTATTTTCCACAGGACTTAGTGTATGTTAAAATTTTGTAAATACCCAAATGAGCAAGCAAATGAACCTCTGTCAGTGTTCTTACAGCGATTCTCATCACTCGGCATTTTCTCTGTCTTCAAGAGAGTATCTCTTTTTAGACAATATTGCAAATTAACAAGGGATTAATTTTTCTTAGTCATAACATTTAAAACAGTATTTGATTTTATAGAATCTCAATACTGTAGTTTTTATATTTAAAAATCAAGGGAAAACATTAATTTCTATAATTATGAAACGTAGAAAATCAAGAAAAGGGGTAAATAGTCTTCATAATTGCATTGACATGATCATTTTTGTCAGTTTCATGGTGTTTTTTTTGTTGTTGTTGTTGTTTAATCTGGTTTTGTTTTAAAATAGACTCCATGACCAGCATGGAGCCCAACATAGGGCTTGAACTCACGACCTGGAGATCAAGACGTGAGCAGAGATTGAGTCTGACGTTTGGGGCGCCTGGGTGGCTCAGTTTGTTAAGCGTCCAACTCTTGGTTTCAGCTCAACTCATGATCTTATGGGTCGTGATATCAGGCCTTACCTCGGCTCTGCACTCAGCTGGAGGCTACTTGAAGATTCTTTCCCTCTGTCCCTCCCCTGGCCTGTGTGTGCATGTGCATGCTCTCTCTCTTTCAAATAAATAAATAAAGCTTAAAAAAAAAAAAAGAATCAGACACTTAACCAACTGAGATACCCAGGCGCCCCTCATGTATTTTTTCTTCATCTTTTTTTAATGCATATAAAATGTGTAGCAAAAAGAGGTTGTTTTTCATTTTCTTTTCCAAAGTTAGTTGTATTATTTTACATTGCCAACAGCAATGTATCAGTTATAATTGGTGAACACACTTGCCAACACTTGGTGTGGTATTTAAAACTTAACAATCCTGTACATTTGATATGATTTTGATTTAACTGGTTTAATGTTTAAGTATTCTCATCACAGTCCCTCATGATGAAAACTATTGGACATCTTATCATGTACTTACTGACATTTGTATAATAAAAAGAGGTAGTTTTTAACCACCTATGAAAATTATGTCCTGTTCTAATGAAGAGTTTGTAAACAGTGATTTCTAACTAGTATTTGTATTTACTTAGTCCTTAGAGAATGCCAATAATACCTACATTTTAATGAAATTAGAATAAATGCCTAATAAAAATCTAAGAAGGTAAGTCTAGTTAACAGCTTTAAATGAGTTTATGATTTGCCATTTTGTACTATTCAGAGAATAGTGTTTTAAGCATCATTTTTTGGTTTTAAAAAAGAGTATCTGACACAGTTGTTCAGCACCTAATCCTTTTCATCGCTGGAGATGTAGATGTAGTTCTCAAAGTTGGCCGCTTTGCTGGGTGTGTGGTTGCATTTGTTCGTAAGGCTATTCTTTCTTCTTTAAAATAAATGGCACAGAAGGATCATCTTAAGGAATCAGAAGATTGCCTATTGTTGTTTTTTTTTCTTTATATGTGTGTGGTTTTTGTTTTGTTTTAAGAACACAGAAATGATGTGGTGAGTGCTGTGAAATGTGTAAACCTGGCGATTCACAGACCTGTACCTCTGGGGATAAAAATACATTATTTGTTTATAAAAAAATTAAAAAATTTATAAAAAAATAAGAACACAGAAATGATGAATGATGAATATTGATTTTCTCATGGTGACTGTGTTGCTGTTCAGAATTAGTTTGTTGTACCACTGATATTCTCCAGCTTGGTTGTTTCTGAACTGAAATTTGTAAAGCCCCAAATTCTGAAACAAAATTAGGGAAGGTTGTTGGACTAAATTAACTTCTGATTTCAAGGCTGTGAGTCCATGGTAGTAGCTATAAATACCACCCTCGGGCTTCAGGTGCTCATAGTTTAACATGTCTCCTAGAGGCCCTCTTGTTATTTTTCTAAGGATTTCAGAGGAAACTCACTTTTGATTTTTGAGGATGAGAAAAATTTTTATATTCGGTTGGTATTCCTCCAAAAATGAAAAGTAAATGAAAAGCTGCTATTCTCCTCCTTTTCCTAGACCAAGATGGCGACTTTGACGGTCTGCTCACTTCTGGTTCCATCTCCACTTTGCTGGATGCACAGGGTTTTAGTGACCTGGAGAAAAGTCTATCATCTACACCAGTCATGGGATCTCCCAGTCGTGACCCATTTAACACAAGTGTTCCAGAAGAGGTATTTACAGACTCTCAACATTATCTTTGTAGTGAAGAGACTGTGTCATTGAAGGTTAAAATGCTGTTGACAGCATGAAAGACATGGGATCTTTTCTCAGTGTGGCTACTGACGGAGTCTTAACAATTTTCATGTCAAAACTCAGTCTCGTGGGACTTTATTTGAAAGATTGGTTTTTCCCCCCTCTTTAATAAATAAATACCTTGGGCAATGTAAAAATTGCTTAAATAATTCAGAAAGAACATGAGAGAAAGATGCCATCCTAAATAGATTACAGTCTATACAATAATAATCTTTATTAGTAAAGAACAAATAGGGAATAGATGAAGAGGGATAAAGTGAGATTATATTAAGAGGTTGGTTTTAGTCACTTTCAATGGTGCCTCTGAAAAATTCTGGACTAAAATCTTCCCTGACTTCTTTAGACTTGGAAAAAAGCAGCTGGACAGGAATACTTAGTCTTGAACTCATTTACTTTTCTTTCACATCAGACTGGTGCCAAAATCTGTTTCCATTATCTATTGCAAACCACCCCAAAAATTTGTGACTTGAATGACAGCACTTGCTTTGCTAACAAATGTGTGATGTGGGTAAGGCTCAGCAGGAACATTTCTTCTTCGCTCCACTGGGCAATAGTTGGAATGGCATGAAGGCTGGAGGCTTGAGTCATCTGAAGGCTATGCATTTGTATATCGCATGGTTGGTGCTACTGTTGGCCAGGACCTCAGCTGAGGCACTAGCTGGAAATATCTGTGACTGCCTGGCTTTCTCCTAGCATAGTGTTTAGATCCTAAGGATGAGCATCCCAATAAGAGGACTGGGCATATTTATATCATCTTTTATGCTATGACTCAGAAATCCTGTGGCATCTCTTCTCCTGTAGTCATAGGCCCACACACATTCACAGAGAGGAAACAAAAACCCTACCTCTTGATGGACAAGTAATAATATCACATTTGAGAAGAACACATGGGATGGCATATACCCCTAGGACCATATTCGACTAGTACAATTGCCCTCCACTCTCTGGTTACAATCATTTATATCCCTCCCCCATGCAAAATGTCCTCATCCCCTCGTCAAAGACCTCTTGGCCTTATTCCAGTCAGGCTTCCGCATCCCAAGACCTTGTCATCCAGACCCGGTCAAGATGTAGGTGCAGTTGCTCAGATTTGGCTTCTCGAGTAGCGCTCCATTCCATTTAAAGAACCAGGAAATTCAAGGTCAAGCCATTTGTCCCCTACACACCTGACATACAGTGGTGGAATGGGCATAGTAACTACTAGGCATTCCCATTTAAGAAGAGGGAACATGGACATGGAAGATACCCACGTATCATTAGTCAGTAGCAGTTCCCAAATCCAGCCAGGCTCGTGTGGCCAGTTCCTTGACAGGGCCCAGACCTTTAGGCTCTTGGTTGTTCCTTGGGAGTCATCTTTCCATTTCCAGGAGAAAGAACCTGTAATTGCAGATAAGTTGTTTTCTGCAAAAGTATCTATATGGGTCCAGGGCCTTCTGCCTTCTACTATCTCTATCCCTCTTGGTCTAATTTGGTATAATATTTTATTCATTTGGAATTTCTTATGAATCAATTTATAATCCACTCCATCAGGTAAAGGATATCCACAGTTATCTTCACCATAAGACTTTCTCTATCTTAAGTTTTCTGTATGGCAGCTATAGAATATCCCTCTATTTTTAGAGTTGTCGAACTTTTTGAAGGTTTCAATGAGACAGCTGTACCTTAAGTCTTCCTGAGGTCTTAACCTAGGCACACCCGTGGCTTCCTGACAGCACCGCCCTCTTTGCCATAGAACTTTTAATTTTAGTGCAGTGTACTGTCTAGAGAAACTGGGAATGGGAAAAATTGTTTTTGTTGTTGTTGTTTTTGTTTTTTAACTAAACAGTCTTGGCTACCTTTTCCAATTCCCCTTTTGGTCGTCTTTCCTTTAACATTTTACTGTTTGCAGTGAGAAAAAACCAAGTGGCATCTTTTCTTTTCACATCTATTCCTGCTGATTACCTAATGAGAAAATGAAATTTGAATTGCATGAAAATGAATTCAAGGAGGGAACATTTCTCTCTTCACTGTAGGAGAGGGCTAAAAGATGTCAGTCATAAGGATTACTGGGTAGGGGAAATTGGAGGGTGGTGATCAAAGGGTGTAGACTTCCAGTTATAAGACAAGTGTGCTGGGGGTACAAGGTACAACATGATGACTATAGTTAACACTGCTGTCCGGTATGCTTGAAGGTTGCTAAGACTGTAGATCCGAAAAGTTCTCATTGCAAGGAAAAAAAATATGTTTTTTTTTTTCTTTTCTTTTCTTTTTTTTTTTTTTAATTTGTACGGTACTGCATGTCAGTGATATCCCAATAAAATTGGAAAAAAGAGGCAAAAGATTAGTTAAGGAATAAAAAATATTTTAGAGGGGGAAATAAAAAATATGTTAGAGGGGGAAAATTCCCTAATTGCTAATTATATTTCTACTGAAGGGAAAAATAACATCTGACAGTCAATGAGTATGCTTGCTGCCTGTTTACAGAATGGCAGATGTTACATGTAAGATTTGCCTAGATAATCTCTTTAAAAAAGTCTTTCCTATGTGAATTGTACTTTAATGAGACTTTTCTTTTGGAACCAGAATGATTTGATGAGGATTAAGTGTGTTGAGCCACATTGTTAAACAAGAGCTAGGAGGGAGATTGGAGTTGGGAGTTAAAGTCCTAAGTTCAAAACAAAATCAAGGAAATGGATCAGTTTGTTAGTGGAGCCATTTCCTTCCCCATGATTAGGAACCCGGGAGCTACTGTGAACTTGACAACACAAGGGATGATGGCTCAATAATTCGCCCAGAACTAATCATAAAGATTCAAATAAAAAAAAAAAGATAGTGAAGTAATCTCCTATTTTACAGCAATAAGACTTGTTAAAGAACAAAATTCAGGGGCGCCTGGGTGGCTCAGTAGGTTAAGCCTCTGCCTTCGGCTCAGGTTATGATCTTAGGGTCCTGGGATGGAGTCCCGCATTGGGCTCTCTGCTCAGCAGGGAGCCTGCTTCCTCCTCTCTCTCTCTCTCTCTCTGCCTACTTGTGATCTCTCTCTATCAAATAAATAAATAAAATCTTTAAAAAAAAATTCAGCTGAGAAAATTTTAAACACAGGGATGATGGCTCAGTAAGTTGCCCAGAACTAATCATAAAGATTCCAAAAAGAAATCGTGAAGCAACAAGATCAGACTTGTTGTTAAAGAACAAACTTAAACTGAGTAAATTTGCAACATCTTACTGGCTTTATTCAGCAATTTATGAATCAGGCAACGTCCATTTTAGCAGATGGAAAGGAATTCTATGGATCTGTACAAAATGAAGGGCTTTTTTAGGCAGAAGGAAGCAGGAGCAGAGGATCATGCTAGTCGTTTCCTGGTTGGTTAAGTAGGGTTACTTTCCTTATGTGCAGCAAAGGGAAGTCTCGGGGCGGGGTGGGTCAGGTAACTTACTAAGGGCAGGCAAGTCCCTATTGGTTGACCTAGGTCTGCCTTTTCTGGGAGCCCCAAGCACAGAAACTTAGCTAAGTTTGGGTTTACTGACATGGAGCTTAACACGAGCCACTCCATCGTGGGCCCAATCAGATGATTTTAATAGACTTCACATGTTATAACCTCTTAGTGTCAAGGAATGAGACCACCGCTCAGTAACTGGAACAAAAAACCACAGAGCTAAATGTATTGCTTATTTAGTTATCTTGGTGAACTTTGTTGGTCAGGGACAGTTTCTTTGATCATTTGTGGGGCATGCGGGGTTGCTTGGAGCTCAGGGTTTGAGGGACTCTCAGAGGCTAGAGAGAGTTGACATCCGCTGTGGACGTGTGGTTACAGAGGTGAGACTGTTGTTGATTGATTGGCATCTAGAAGTGTGTTCCAGGTTGTGAATCCCTACCTTCCTGGCTGACTTCAGAAGGGAGGCGCAGTCACTAATTGGTTGGTTGACTGGCAGAGTGAATTCACTGAGGAAAATTTTATTTTTTTATCACAATATTTTTTAAGTAATTCATGTATTAGTTTATGATGGGCTCTTACACCATACTGCTCTACAGTCATCGGAAATTATTCAACCCCAGAGTATAAAATTTCTTCCATAGATTCCATCCTTAGGATACACAAAGCATTTGCTTAGGAAGGTGTATTAGGCATTTTTGTTGTTGCTGCTGTAGTATTATTCAGCCAAGTGTTTTAAGTGGTATCCACAAAGAACTGGTTTGGGGGTGCCTAGGTGGCTCAGTCGTTAAGTGTCTGCCTTCTGCTCAGGTCGTGATCCCAGGGTTGTGGGATGGAGCCCCTTATCAGGCTCCCTGCTCAGGGAAGTGGGAAGCCTGCTTCTCCCTCTCCCACTCCTCCTCCTCGTGTTCCCTCTCGCCATGTCTGTCTCTGTCAAATAAATAAAATCTTAAAAAAAAAAAAAAAAAAGAACTGGTTTGAACAACATTCTATATTAGACTCGTGGTAGAAAATAAAGTGAAAACAGGTGTGTTTACAAAGCACTTTACCTAAATCACATCTCAAATCATGACAACCCTGTAAGGTAGGCATTGCCTTTCTCATGTTACAGAGGAGAAAACTGGTGCCCAGTTAAGTGACTTGCATAAGGTTAGAACCAAGATTTTTACTAGGGCTTAAAGTTGTCAGGATCAACTATTGACTTACTTAATGGTATTTATTATGTTTTATTCAGAACCAAGTTCAAAAATGACCGTCCTCCAGAATGTTTTCTCTGATTTTAACAGTCATTGATGTTTATATCCAGAGACCATTTTATAAATAGAAGAATAGTGTTTTTAAACATAGGTGTATGAAATTTTTTTGATGGACCATGTAATTGTCTCAGTTATTTTTTTTTTCTCTGTGACTTCTGTCTTATTTTGTGATTTTTTTTTTTTTAATTTCTTTTCAGCGTAACAGTATTCATTGTTTTTGCACCACACCCAGTGCTCCATGCAATCCGTGCCCTAATACCCACCACCTGGTTCCCCCAACCTCCCACCCCCCGCCCCTTCAGAACCCTCAGATTGTTTTTCAGAGTCCATAGTCTCTCATGGTTCACCTCCCCTTCCAATTTCCCTCAACTCCCTTCTCCTCTCCATCTCCCCTTGTCCTCCATGCTATTTGTTATGCTCCACAAATAAGTGAAACCATATGATAATTGACTCTCTCTGCTTGACTTATTTCGTGGATTTTTTACTTTCTCTAATTACATTACAGTTCCACACCAGCATCTTGCAAGTTTCAATCCCTTCATTACTGCCAACATCTAAGGGCTTGGAAACGTCTGAAAGAGCAAAATTGCCTCCTCAACCAGAGACTTCATTCGAAGAAAGGTATGTCATTTATGACCCAACATTACAATATAAATGTTCAGCAGAGTAGATCAAGCAAACACAAGAGTGCATTGCAATTTATTTACAGACACAGGTTTTACTGTGAGAAGCAAGAAACTGTAAGGCATGTGCCAGGGAACCAGTGTAAATCAATCACTACAGTCAGTTCTGGATTATTGAAATAAAGGGTGTGAAGCAAGAAGTCCTAGGACAGGAGTCCAGGGAGGTGTGGTGTTCAGTTTAGAGAGAGATTTTAGGGGACTCAAGTTTTATGTCCTAAGTCATGGGGGGCCACCAGTGGGTCCCAAGCCCCATAGCAATGGTCATGTGGCCCAGGCTGTTTGGAAGAAGGATTTGGGACAGGGATACAGCACTTTCTCCATTAACAAGTAGAATTTTGAGGGAGCATGTTCTCAATTACTTAACCTTATAATGAGACCAAATAAAAGAAAATATAATAGAATATTTTAGGGGCACCTGGGTGGCTCAGTGGGTTAAGCCTCTGCCTTTGGCTCAGGTCATGATCCCAGGGTCCTGGGATCGAGCCCTACATTAGGCTCTCTGCTCGGCAGGGAACCTGCTTCCTCCTCTCTCTCTGCCTGCTTCTCTGCCTACTTGTGATCTCTCTGTCAGATAAATAAATAAAATATTTTTTTAACAAAAGAAAATACAGAATATTTTAAAAGAGAGGGGCAGCTGGGAGTCCTCAGTAAGTTCAGCAGCTGACTCTTGATCTCAGCTCAGGTCTTGATCTCAGGGTTGTGGGTTCAAGCCCCATGCTGGGCATGGAGCCTGTGTTTAAAAAAAAAAAAAAAAAAAAAAAAAACAAAACAAGACTATTTTAAAAGAGAAATAGCTTCCCTAGCACAATTTTTTGTTTTTTTGACAGTTCTGCTTACTTAGAATATATATGGTCTTTTACTTGTGAAGCACACACATTCCATTTTTTTTTTCCTTTTCTTTCTTCTTTTAGTGATGGAAAAATAATCCTCGGTGCTTCTGTTGAAACCCAGCCGTGCGATAGTCTTTCGTAAGTCACGTTCTTGAATGTGGGAAATGTCATTGATACCTGGGAGAGAGGAAGCTTCTGACACACTCACAGTGACCACTGTGAGAAGCAGATGACTGAGGCCTGAATACATTAATGCAGGTGTGGTGGTTGGATGTCAGGGAAGGAGAGGTTGTGAGTTAACAAAGAGATACTTGCTCATTGACCATTATCCGTTATCTCGTGCCAAATGTTTGCACGGCTTTAGCCTTCCTTCATCAGTTTTCATGTGAAGTGCAGTGCTTTGAATTTCAGGTTTGTACTGGCTTGCATTTTGACCCTAGCAGAAAAGAGTCAGAGAGAATGATGTAATGGCTGGAAAGTTTGCAGTAGTTTTTTGCATTCTCCATGTAGTAAACTGGTCCATTATCTATGTTTATCCAAGTTCAAGTCTGAATTAGGAAAATCTATTTCCAGAGCAGTGTTCAAAGATGAGATCTTCTCTTTTCTTGCCATTATATTTTACTTTATTTGGTACTGGACATGTCTAGTAACTTATGTACACATGAGTACATGAGAATTGCCTTTTAAAAGTTTGTGTATCTATGTTATTCTGCTTCTTAGAGCTTTTTTCTCTCTCTAAACTGGTCACCTATTCCTGCCTTCCATTTTTGAAAAGAGCAGCCCTGTACACTTGAATGCTAGTTATGTGAAAGGGAAAAAAATCTCTGGATATTTACAGTGTCACTTTGCCTTTGCAAGGATAGCAAACAAATTACTATGGGCAGCCAGAGGGATTTTTCTTCTATGCCTCGATCAGAACTATAAAATGAACTACTTGGCCAGATTCAGAAAATGGATTCCTTTGTGAATTGAAAAGTAACACTTCTGTCCTTTATTTTAATTACAAGGATTATATGTAAATAGTATGTGAGTATTTTAGAAGTTCCCTGGTATATTAACTAAAATTTAAATAAAAATAAAAAATAAAAAAGTTCCTGGTCTAAATGTATACATAAAAGGATACACCACTGGTCCATGGAAAAATGCTGGTTTATTTTCAAATGTTGACATCACAAGGACAGTCTAAGTGTTTTTCCAGCTATTCTAACATGTGTGGGACATTTAGAGTTATTGGCAGGACAGTTAACCACCTCTGCTTTTTAAGAACTCAATGTTACAATTTTGTAAAGCACATAAGTGACTGCCTGAATCCGGGTTTTCTTTTATGACCAGGATTCAACCCACACACAGTTTTAGTTTCTTTCCAAGATATTTTCCTAAGAAACGGTGGCACCAGAGCCACTTATTATTAATCCTAATTACTATTATTATTATTTTTAGAACTTCAAGTCTGCAAAAGTCCAGCAGCCTGGGCAATCTGAAGAAAGAGTCATCAGACGGGGTTGGTTCTGTGTTGTTTCTCTGTCTGTTACCCTGAGACGCAAATATTTAGGGATCCTCACATTTTCCCATTTTGCAAATAAAACTCTCAAGAAGAGCTTGAGGTTCCTCTAATGTAGATTTATTAGATACCACAGTTAATGGTAAATGTTAAGAAGGATAAATATGAACGATTGAAAGTAGTGTATACAATCAAAACTGAAGACTTTAATTAGCCATTATTGGAAATAAATGGAACTGAGATTGTGTAGCTTAGATGTAGATGTAAGTTTATTTTAATTTCTAGAATTGTATGTAACAGATTGTGAATATATGAAGCCATTCCTGTAAGAATCTAAAATATTGTTGTTTTGAACAGGAAAAGGAGTCTGTTCAGAAGCCTCCAGAGGTAATTTTTATGTCCAGATCACAATTGAAAAATGTTTGTGATGTCTGATACATGTGATTGTTTAAATGTCTCCAAAAAACCCAAACTCAGAACCTCCAAAACATGTTATATGAAAGAAGCCAGACATGAAAGATCAGATAGTACACGATTCCATTTATGTGAAGTATGCAGAATAGATAAATCCATAGAGACAGAACACAGCTTGGCGGTTGCCAGAGATGGAGAGGGGGGAATGGAGAGAAACTGCTTCCTAGGTAAGGGGTTTTATTTAGAATGATGGAAATGTTTGGGAGCTAGGTGGAGGTGGCAGTTGCATAACACCGTGAGTTTACTAAATGTCCCCGAATTGTTCAATTTAGGATAGTTACTTTTTATGTTTCAGCTCAATAAACTGTTGGTGGGGGACAAAAGCCAGACAAACAAAACCCCAGACTCTCAATCAGGCTATTGATGTTCTTAATGATCATATTTGGGCTTCCTATGACCTCACAAAAAGTCCTTAGGTCACCTGCCTGAGAACAGCTGTTTATTTAATATAACCACTGTGTATACAGCAAACATTTTGGTGTTCTGTTTTTTTGTCTTTTTTTTTTTTTTTCTTTTTTAAAGACCTCATCAACAAGGGCTCTGGTTCTTCTTTCCTCTAATTTTCAATCATTAACTCTGTAAAGGCTACATTCTGGTAGACAGGCCACTTCCAGATGCACTCCCTTGACTGTTGGCTCTGAATGCCTTGAGTTGTAATGTAGGTGTCCCTGATAAGGCACAGACTGTGCACACAGCTGTAATTACAGGCATCCTTTGTCCTTTTTTTGTCTTGCCAATTCAGTAAATGATTAAATGATTTTGACATCTGTGGTGAGACATAGGTAATGGTTGCACTAAACTGTGGCATCTATAAACTTGTAGTTACAATGAGCAATAAATTTGGAGGATAAAATAACCACCTTCAAAGCTTGTGTCCCCTCTCCCCTTTCTCCACCTCTGCAAAAACAGAAACAGAGGGCAGGAGATGTTAGAGGAATGAGAGCATGCAAATCAAAGCATCTTTGGATCCTACTAAAACAATATAATAGATCATGTTACTGTAACTGCTAATTCAAATAACGAGAAAGCTAAAAAATCAACAGTACTTAGAAGTATAACTTAATTACAGTTAAGGTTTGCGATAAAGACCTTGACATGTTAGAGACAGCCAAAGAGTCTTCTGAATCGATGAAGAAAAATTTAATTACAACAAGTTTAGTTTTGGTGTTAAGTGTATCTGAGCATGTCGTAGTGTTTGAAAATTGGTGATCCGTGTCAGGTAACTTGCAGGCAAGATAATGAATATGTCTCAGAACACCCTTTCAAAAACAAAATGTTTAATGGTCACTGGTTGTGTCCTCATTTGACTAGTAATTCCTTGAGAAGAATATTTTAAATAACTGGAGTAGAATCGCTTTCTGCTGCTGGTGTAGAAGCTTGGGGATAACGCCTACTTTGCACAGTGATTATATTACTCTGGGCTTCTGATGCAGTTACGGTACAAAGACTGCGAACAGCATTGTAGCCTAGTCTGTGTCGTAACCATTTGAAAAATAGGAAGCCTGCCAGTATTCTGGTTATGCAGTACCTTATTTCCATGTCATCTGGGGGAATGAGGCAAATAAAATTAAAATAAAGCTTGAGAATTTCTATATCCTAAATATTTTACATCCGAAGCATGCAGGTTATAGGTCAGTGACGAACATATTTTTGTTGCTGCTCTTGCTTCCTAAGTAGCTTTCAGAACTGACTTTCTAAATTGTAATATGGTGCTTGGTGTTCATAATCAACTTGTCAGTTCCATGATTCTTTTAAATAAAATCACATGTGTAACAGATCAGGTGTTGTGCCCAGCGTGTACTCCTAATTGTGCACAGCCATGCCGTGTTCCATTTATTATTACTTGTCTTTTAGGATAAAGCTCCGGTAGAAAGCAGCCCCTTCAGGAGCCTCCCTCCGAAAGCTCCGGGGCATGACGCATCTGTGGACGACAACCCTTTTGGCACTCGGAAAGCCAGATCGTCCTTTGGGCGTGGCTTTTTTAAAATAAAAAGTAACAAGAGGACAGCAAGTGCACCAAACTTGGGTGCGTATGGCCAGCGTGCCTTTGCTTTAATTCACTCAGAACGAGGACAAGGTCAATCTCCTCCCTTCCCTGGTTCATCGATCTGTGCGTTTCTCTTTCTCAGAAATGAAGGTGAATGAGCTGGGGGAAAAGTTTGCAAGAAACTGCCCCCATGGGTTTAATTTGGTGGTAAAGATAGCTCTATGCAGGCTGTCACCCTGCTCTCCTTGTTGGAGCATAAATGTAGAGGAAAGACCAAAACCCTTGACATTCTCTGACTTCATTGTAAACAGCTTCTCATCTGTTTCGAAAGTGGACCAATTAACCCCATATTGTTCCTGCTAATGGAATCTGCGATGTTGGAAGCACAGCGCGGTGCTTGCCTTTCCTCCCCCTGTGTGTATTTTGTGAGTAGGACTTTGAGCTGTGTTTCATTTTGTCATTCTCCTGTGTTCTCTCCATTGGGCTGCGTGTGATTGTGTGCGTTGTTGGGATATCTGAAGATCGTAAACGAAGTGCCAGTGCACCCACCCTAGGTATCGTACCCCTGCATGCCAGCCTTCGCCAGTGCTGTCCTCCAGGCTGAGCTAATCCTTGCTCTTGGCATCTGCAATCTCTAGAAAGCAAGCTGGCAGTGATCAGAAAATGTTGTCCTCGACTCCAGAGAGTTCCTTCCGCCTGCTGCTAAAGTGGACTCTCTGGAGAGCCTTTGCTTCCCAACCTACGTGCTGTTTTAACCCCTGCTAATGACACCTTGGGAGGAGCTCTGGGAGGACCCAGAAGCGCACGGCACCCTCAGAGTCCAGGGCAGGACTCTCCTGCCTCGTACCTTCCAGCTTTCTCACCCTTCCAGTGCATCCTGTCTCACACTAACTCCCAGGTCCTGGCAGTCCCTTCTCCATGTCTCCATTATCCCCAGAGAGCAATGTTTTCAGCCAAATCGAGAAGTCTGTAGAAGACATTGCAAATGATTGCTTTAGACTGACTTTTCTTAAGGGAACGTTCTTCTGACATTTATTGCTTTGAAGATGGAGGTGGCATTTAGTGACACTGGAGGAAGCTTTCTGGGATATCCAAGGAGCCTCCCCCAAAGTGATTTTAGGAGAGGGGAAACTCTGTTTTCCTTTTTAAAAGGGTGGGGCATGGGAGGGAGGAAACATCTCAAAACAAAACATGAAAACAGGATGCTTTTAGAATGAGGGTGAGTTAGGCAACATTTTCTGGTACACCCATACCCATGATGGCTTTGGGGTTTGGATGGAAAAGTTCCTTTGGATTTTCCCTGAGATACCCATACACCAACTCATGTGGGTCAACACAGGTGATTTCTCTCCCTTTGCGGTCTTACATTTCTAGAAGACACATGGGATAAATAAAATCCAGACAACATTTTCAAATGTTTTTGCATCTTTCTTAGAAGAAATACATTGTTAATGCTAAGAGCCCAGTGCTGCTTATTATAACCTATAATCACAGCTGTGCTTCGTAGAGAAGTCAACCTCTGCGACTTTTATATCTTGCTGAAACACCATTTCTGTGATTTTTGTACAACTTTTTCTTTCCCAAAAATGTGTAGTCTCACACTGAGGAAACAGTACCGCTTGTGTTTGTTAGTGGGGGATCATGCCTTAAGGGACAGGTAAAAGAATTAAGAAATAGAGAATGCTGGGAGATCTGGGCGTAGCAAATTTGGATGTTACTCTTCAAGGCAGAATCAACAGATACTGATTTTATATCAAAAGAAAAATTTGTGCATATCCAGTACATTCTTTTCTCAGTAGGACATAGCAAGTTATAAATAGGAATAACTCTCTTGAAAAAAAAATTGCCAGCGCTTGGTGACTAGGATATGATGTAAGTGCCAAAGGAGAGGAGGGAGTGAAAAGAAAATGCCAAAGAGTGTGAACGGGAGTAACAGGAAGAATATTAATTAGTATCAAGGGAATATTAAATAAGAAAATCTAAGAGAATTCTTCTGAGAATTGGATGGATTTGTTGAGTCTAAGATGTTCCTGGCACAGCAAATTGGGAATATCCATAAACATTCAGATCCTGAGTCTGGGGAGAGAGATTAGGACCAGAGATTGTGATACCAGCTGCTTATGAATGAGAGAAGCCATCATTTAGTGCCGGGCATGGAGTGGGTGAACTTGTTCAGAGATCCTGCTGGCAGGAGCCTAGAACAGAATCTCAGAGTGGAAGAAGAAGAGAAAACAGGTCCTATAGCAGAGAAGAAATGATCAGATGACAGATCTGGGAGATCGTCCTAACAAGATGAAGGAGATGATGATTTTGAAGAATGTGGGAAGAATGTCAACAGTACCAAGTGCTACGGAAAAAACGAGATTAATTTCATTATGTACTCAGATCACTTAAAGAAAGAATGTGGCAATCCTATCCCACCTTTGAACTTCAAAGAGGTAGTAATTTGTGAGTTAATGAATTTAGGCATGATATCATACATGATATTATACACATCGTTCACTGATACACAGCAGACTGTAGAGCAGGACATACATTTGTGTTCCATCTGTAATATTTGTAGGGTGCTCTTTGTAAATTACTGCTTTACAGACCAACAGAAGAAGAATTTGTTAACAGTTGCTAAAGTCAGAAGGGTAGCATCTAGTCATGTTCATTCCATACTTTAAAACTCACCAAGTATGTATTCTGTTCTTGGAATAGCTGAAACAGAGAAGGAGACAGCTGAGCACCTAGATCTGGCTGGTGTATCTTCCCAGTCGAAAGATTCGCAGGGAGGCAGTCCCTTCCAGATATCTCCACCATCGCCGGATTCCAAAAAGAAATCCAGAGGTATCATGAAACTCTTTGGAAAGTAAGTAACACAGCAGACATATGGAGGGGGCTTTGTGTTGTGTGTTGCTCGAATGTAGGAATAAATGGAAGATTGCCTAGAAACAAGTATGCAGTTGTAAGGCTTTGCTGTTCCTTTTATGGAAGGAAGATTGTGATCTGGGATTCGCTTACTCACTGGGTCTCAGTTAAAGTGTAAATCCAGACGTCTCTTCTGACCATTCATAAGCAATGTTCTTTTTAATTTTAAAGTCCTAAGGTCTCCTCAGGTTTCTACAAGGCAATGTGATGTTGTTTCTTCTGTTCAGACTTAGAAGAAGTCAGTCAACTACATTCAACCCAGACGACATGTCTGAGCCTGAATTTAAAAGAGGAGGGACAAGGGCAACTGCAGGGCCACGACTGGGTTGGTCTCGAGATTTGGGACAATCTAACAGGTGAGAAAAACTGAACGAATGGACTTTGACATCTCTACCCACATGTCCAGGCTGTGAGCACTTGCAGTGTTAGGATTGTCCCTGGGCTGAGCAGTAGAATCTGTTGCTTACCCTTTTGCCTGGCAGAAGGGTCCGTCATCTTTAGAGCAGTGCAGGTTGGCAGTGGTTGGTGAAAATCATGCAGAAGATGAGGGCTGCGTGAGCCAGGGGAGGAATAGAAGCTTAAAGTGTCAGCAACATCTGTGCAAGAATGATTCTTTGACTTCAGTCTGACTGAGAAAATAGTTACTCCAAGTACTCTAAAGCATAGCTCTAGAGAGATGGGCTAACATAGTGGTTAAGAGTAGGTTCTAGAGACAGACTGCTTGGATCTGATTGCTGGCTTTGCTGCTTCCTGTAACCTGGGTGACCTTTGAGCAACTACATCCATGCTCTGCGCCGCCGTTTCCCATGGTATGAATTAGTCTAATCGTGAAGATTAAATGAGTTAATATGTGTTGAGTATCTGGTAAATAGTAACTGTTCGATGAACATTATTGACTAATGGATTCTGTGAAAGCACCTACATAAATTCATAAGACACAAATTCTAACAGAATTCCTGAATTTATCAGGACTGTGTAATGCTTTATCTGTTAAGACTCTAGGAACTTTTCCTACATCCTTACCACAATTGAGGGCTGTTTTGAAATTACTGTACTGACCTACTCAGCATGAGAAGGGTGGCAAACATCTAGCACAAATCATTGACACTAAATCTTTGGAACATGGTCCCTCCTACCCTCGCAGAAGACTGGGCACAGGTTTCAACAAGGAGGAAACCCTGGCTTTCTCCAAACACATGAAGGTCTCATTTGCCGTGTGTTTTCTTTATACACAGCAGAGGATCTCCTTGTGCTGTTTTAAAAAAAAAAAAAAATTAAAAAAAAAAGTCTTGTTTATCTACATTTTTTTCCCCAAAAAGGAACATGATTTCCTTTTCTACTCAGACATGATTTACATGTCAGAGTTGAAAATTTGACACAGAAATTGCTGTGATTACATTTCCCTGTACTCTGTGATGGCGTGTTGCGCTCTCCTCACTGATAACCATTTGGAGAGAAACCATAATTCTGCTACAGTTAGTTCAAGTTAGACTTGATTTCTCTCCATCTAACCTAGTGTTTTCTGTTTGGAGATTCAGTCTTCAAACCGTGTTGATTGAAGCTAGTACAGTGACTTGACTTGTTGGTTCAACTTGCTTTTCTTCCATACGATATCTTAGTTACTCAATCATATTGAATCTTCTGTGGTTTCATTTGAAATGAAAGCTGTGGTCCTGTTGAGGTAATTTTCAATGCCAGTACCACCTCCCCCAAACATGGACTGAAAAGTCAGCTTTTCACTGTCAAATAGGGCATTACTAGGGAATTTCTACATTAATTCAGTATACGTTGGTCAATCTCGAGAAGCCACAGGGCTGACTTGGAATTGTTCTTCATACAGTTGTTCGTTTTCTTATAGTGACTTGGATATGCCATTTGCCAAATGGACCAAGGAGCAGGTTTGCAATTGGCTTGTGGAACAGGGCTTGGGGTCCTACCTGAATTCGGGCAAGCACTGGATTGCATCTGGCCAAACACTTCTGCAGGCTTCTCAGCAAGATCTGGAGAAGGTGACTGCTTCTCTGTTTTGTTTAGACAATGGCTACTGAGAAAGAGAATAAAATGTAGAATTGTTTTATACTCCAGAAAGGGGAGTGGGGGGAGCTAATCAGTACTCTTGAAAAACTTTGTGTTTTCTACTTCACACTTTTTTTTTTCTAATTTAATCACATGGATTTAACAAGAAGGACCTGATCTTAATGATTCCTTATGAAACATGTAAGCCACTGGGCATTTTTAATGAGAAATAATTGTATAGACATAATAATAAACCTTAAGCTCGTATTTCTCAGAATCTTTGTGAGGCTTTAGCATTGGCCCAACTTCTCAGTGTAAAGTATGCAATTCAGCTTTACTTTGCAAAAAGGAAAAGGAAAGAGCCCTACATCTTACGTCAAATTATTTAACATGTTTCCTAATTGTTTAACCTTTTGTACAAAAAGAGTAGAATTCCAGTCTTGCCGAGGAAGGAGCCTACTAGGGAATGGAGCATCCCGCTAAACTAGTTGCTGTGGTCTTGGCTTTTTAGGGGCCTTTTGTTCAGCAACATTTCACCAGCCCGACTTGGTATGCTGACTGAACGGGATTGTCGGGTCTTTAACACTGGCTTCGTTTGGGGGGAACTGGCATCTTTTGCCAGTGGCATCTAGCCCATAGTGACAGAATGGTAAAACCAGTGTTTCTGCTTATTATTTCAGGAACTTGGGATTAAGCATTCACTTCATCGAAAGAAGCTCCAGCTGGCACTGCAAGCCCTGGGGTCCGAAGAAGAAACCAACCATGGAAAGCTGGATTTCAACTGGGTCACTAGTAAGAGGTTTTAAATTCACTCATTCATGAATGAGTAAATGAATGAATGACTGACTGAATGAATAAATGAATGAAGCTGCTTTTTCTTTTGAATCACAAGTACAGGTGTTGCATGGCTTACTAACAACACTGATTTCTCTCCTGTAGGGTGGTTGGATGACATTGGTCTCCCCCAGTACAAGACCCAGTTTGACGAAGGTCGGGTAGATGGTCGAATGCTCCATTACATGACTGTTGTAAGTGATTGGCTCCTGGGAGTTGGGGAAGGGGAGTGTCAAATTGCTTTTCTCTGGAAAGACACAGAAATAGTGAGCAAAATACATTGTTTTCACAATGATTCCACCAGAGTTTCAGGGTGTTGCCTTAACTTAAGAAGAGCCAGAAGAGTTTCTATTAAGTTGAAGTCAGAGGATTTGGTGATTGCAGTACCGTTGGGAAATTTAAAACTTTGATTTAAGCTGTGTGAAGACTAATCTAAACTCAGCTCTCCAGGAAGATGGTTTTATGTATATTCAACAATGTAGACACTGAAGTGCACACTTTGAAGGAGTAAATTTTCGCATAATTTCATATGCGAATTATATGTCATAAAGATGCTTTGTTTTATTTTAGATTTTATTCATTTATTTGAGAGAGAGTGAGATAGAGCACGATCAGGGAGAGGGTCAGAGAGAGGAGGAGACTCTCACTAAGAAGGGAGCCTGATGTGAGATGGTCCCGGGACTCTGGGATCATGACCTGAGCCGAAGGCGGCCACTTAACTGACTGAGCCACCGAGGCGCCCCTCTCCTAAAGATGTTTAAAAAATAGAGTGTAGAGTGTCGAAGCCCTGGGAGTTTCTGAGTTACACCTTCCTATATGCAGTGACTGCTCAGAAGAGACCACCCTTTTGACCTGACATCTAGAGACTCGTCTCCTCTCCTCCCTTCTGCTTTGGAGAATATTACCCAAAACCTGCCTCCTTTCTCTCTTTAGCCCCGTTCCACTAGGGGAGGAATCGCAGAGGCAAGAAGTAGGGTGAGGTGGACTCTCTCTGATTCCTGCATTACTGTTTCGTATTTTTATCCTTCCATCTAAGAGGTAGAAGGACTTTATAACAGTGGGAGAGATGGTTTCCAGGAGAACTTGTTCTAGATTCCACAGTCCTGTTAGTGCACTGCTGCTTTAGATTCTTTTCTTTAAAAGGCCTTTTGTGAGCTGTGCTCTGGAACCAACTCCCAGAAGTATCTTCTTTAAGTTTGTTGAAAATTCGGGGCACCTGGGTGGCTCAGTGGGTTAAAGCCTCTGCCTTCAGCCCAGGCCATGATCTCCGGGTCCTGGGATTGAGCCCTGCATCGGGCTTTCTGCTTGGCGGGGAGCCTTCTTCCTCCTCTCTCTCTCTGCCTGCCTCCCTGCCTACTTGTGATCTCTGTCTGTCAAATAAATAAATAAAATCTTTAAAAAAATTTCGTTGAAAATTTCAAACAGCTAATTTTTCAATGTCAAAGAATTGTGGGGTTCCTTTAATAGGATTCGTTTTCTTCTCTGTCATTGAACCAAAGTCCGTACCTTGGTGGGCACATGGCGTAAACCTGCTTGTAATAATACGAGCATGTGGCACATTGCATGTATACTGTGTGCCAGACACTCTTTCAAGCTCCGTACTCCTATGAATACTCCAGTTTCAGCAAGCCTTGAGGTGACTTTCTTGTTATCCCCCAGTGTTTAGATGAGGGAATGAGAAACTTGAGAAACGGGGTAGCTCAACCAAGTTTCCACAGCCAGAAAGTAGTCGAAAGTCACAGGGTGTTTGAACCTAAGATGTTTCCAGATTCCTCCTCTTAATAGCTCAGCCTGGAACAAATTCAGTAAATACTTGCCTGCCTGTCTAGGTACGTATGCTTCTGCAGGAACGTGAGCAGATTCAGGCTTAAAACCACAAGAAATGTGCATATAAATTTTGTGACTATAAAAGAGTAAATCATCTTAGAAAATTTGGCCCCAGAAGTTCTGAGTCACAAAAATACCTACTTGAACACGGTATCCTGGGCTGGATCCTGGAATAGAGAAAGGACCTAGTGGAAAAACTAGTGAAATCTGAGTAAAGTCTGTAGTTTTAATTACCATTTTTTGTTTATGTTAATTCCTCAGTTTTGATGACTATATCATGGTTATAGAAGGTGTTAACTATTAGGGGAAGCTGAGTGAAGGATATATGGAACTATTATCTCTCTTTGGCAGCTCTTTGGTAAATTAAAATTACCTAAAAGATTTTTTTAGGGGCACCTGGGTGGCTCAGTGGGTTAAGCCCCTGCCTTCGGTTCAGGTCATGATCTCAGGGTCCTGGGATCGAGTCCCGTATCGGCCTCTCTCCTTGGCAGGGAGCCTGCTTCTCCCTCTCTCTCTGTGCCTGCCTCTCTCCTACTTGTGATCTCTTTCTCTGTCAAATAAATAAATAAAATCTTTAAAAAAAAAAAAAAAAAAAGACGGCGCCTGGGTGGCTCAGTGGGCTAAGCCTCTGCCTTCGGCTCAGGTCATGATCTCAGGGTCCTAGGATTGAGTCCCGCATTGGGCTCTCTGCTTGGCGGGGAGCCTGCTTCCTCCTCTCTCTCTCTCTCTCTCTCTGCCTGACTCTCTGCCTACTTGTGATCTCGCTCTGTCAAATAAATAAATAAAAACCTTAAAAAAATCTAAAAAAAGTATCTGTTTTGATTTAAAAGAAAACAGCCCCTGCTTTTAAAAAAAAATCTTTCAAGCTAAAATAATTTGCATTGTATTTACATTGTAATCATTAAGTATTTAGATTTTTTTTTAATCTGAAAAACTTTAATTGAAACTGACCCACGTGGAAATGTTTTGAATGGGTGTCTCAAACTTAGATTAAAATGTGTTGAATGCCTTCCAACTTACTATAAGGAAGTGCCTATAAGAAATTGATCCAGAAAAAAATTCAGGAAATAATTTTGCTCAGTAGCTTTAAGAATTTAAGCTGATTGTCCAATATTTTTATTTAAAAACTATTTCTACAATAGATTATCACCCCCCCCCCCCGCCCCCACCAACTAATGTGTTTATCAGTAAGGTGTGTCTAAAATGGGTATTTTTCTTGTTTTATTTTCTGGGTGTGTTTGGAAATAGATTGGTGCTTATCTTGACACTGCCCTCCACATCACCTTCTGAAATAATTTGTTTTGGTGTGTTTGGTATGTTTGAAACGTTCCCAATAACCACAGACTGAGGAAAGTTACACCTGGAAGGAATTGATGGTGATACATGTTGCTACTAATAACTTCTTCATGTCTCCTTTCTCTTGAACTCTCACCAAAACCTTCGCAGCGATCAACACAATTTTCGCAAAATTATTCACAGTCTCTGCCAGATAGAGCATAATAATCAAGAACTAGAGATTCCTTGAGGCTTGGGGAATACTGTAACAGAGATACTTTTCTGATTTTCCCCCAAATGGTGATGTGCCTTAGTTCAGCAAACCCAGCTCTGCTGTCCTCACTGAACATCATGTGCTCTTAGCTCTTTGCTTTATCACACCAAATCAAAGTGTGACCCAGCCGATTCCTTTCAAACTGTGTTCTACAGAGCTATGGGGTCTCAATCCTGTTTCAAAGTGTCTGGAAGAGAAACAGGTGAAACTTGGCTTCTGTTGATACAACATTAATTTTGTTGTTGTTGTTTTTAATTTGGGGTCCTGGAGAGGATTTTGTTGGGAACAGGAAAAAAATGTTCTGTCACCAAATAAAGGGTTTGAAAATACAAGCGCTCGAGGCCTGTTGGTAGAGGGGTTTCCTAGTTTCAATTGTGTTTTCTGAAATTTCCCTGAGAAGGTCCTTCTGCTCTAGGCCAGCTCAGTGACCTCCTCTTTTTGTTCTTTTTTTTTTTTTTTTTTCAGGATGACTTACTGTCTTTGAAGGTCGTGAGTGTGCTACACCATCTCAGTATCAAAAGGGCTATCCAGGTCCTGAGGATCAATAACTTTGAACCTAACTGTCTGCGGAGGCGGCCGTCTGACGAGGTAGCACCTGAGGTTGAGATTCCCGCTGCATGCGCTCCCCGTGCACTGGACAACTGTGCGGGCAAAACAGACACACACGTCTTCATGGGGCCGGCAGGGAAGGCTTCTGTCATCCTCAGAGCCTCAAGTCCAGCCTCATTACTTTCTCGGGTCTTATTTTCCTATATCCCCCCCATTGTGATAGCTCTATCTGTGATTGTGTTTTAATTTCCCTCCCTCCTTTTCTCGGGTGTCTTTTATTTTCTGGTCTTCTTAAGCCACAGAGTTAAATATCACTCTAGAGACTTGCTTTCCTAAAGCACTGCTTCATGAGTTTGTGAAAAAAGCTTGGAACACTGGCACAGATGCCTCAAAACAAAATTGAGCTTAGCAGACCCCTTTTCACCTTTTCTGTAAACACTTAGCGGGATGTCGAGTGAATTGTGCTCTAGAAGGCAGACTTTGTAGAAGGTGCAGTTTGAGTGTTTGGGATCCCACAGTCAATAGGCTGAAGCTCCTTTTATTTTGTTTTATTTTACTTTTTTCACAAAAAATAAAATGTTCCAGATTTCATTGTTTTATGTATCACACCCAGGGCTCCGTGCAATCCGTGCCCTCCTTAATACCCACCGCCAGGCTCACCCAACCCCCCCCCCCCCCCCCCCCAAAACCCTCCGTTTGTTTCTCAGAGCCACAGTCTCTCATGGCTGAAGCTCCTGGGGGTTGTTTGTTCTCACAGAATAGCGTCACCCCGTCCGAAGTTCAGCAGTGGACCAATCACCGGGTGATGGAGTGGCTGCGCTCCGTGGACTTGGCAGAATATGCCCCCAACCTCAGAGGCAGTGGTGTCCATGGTGGGCTCATGGTAAAACTCTCTTTTAATTGAAAAACTGACTTCTTCTCATTTTGTTTCCATCAGTCGAATGAGGTAGGACGTTATCAGTTTGCTTGTCATAATCCTAGCATCATCAAACTGAACCCTCCTGTAACCATTTCTAGGGAGTCTTTTTACTTTCCGAGTATTTTCCCCCATATTTTTATTTGTATCATGTAGGGCTAGATCAGATTTCAATCCATTTCTTATTCATTGTCTCTTATCTTATGTGACATCTGGCCACTGGTTCTCATGGGATCCTGTTTTGAAACACCTGCCACATCCAGATTCTATTTCTGCACAGTGATATAAGGAGTTGCCTTCCAAAGGCTCCACTTCGGGGAGCTACAAGCCCTAACTTTGGAATGCATGGATGTCGGGAACGGCTCTACTTCTCACTAGCTTAGGCAAAATAAAGATATATAGCTTGAAGATCGAAGTCCACGCTCTGTCTCTCTGGGCTGTTGCGGGATCATTGGTGACGACTAAATGAAGGAGCTTTGCCAATTACAAAGCGCAGGGCAGACGTGTATGATACACAGTGCCTTAAACGACTGTAATTTTTTTTTATAGGTTCTAGAACCTCGTTTTAATGTAGAAACAATGGCTCAGTTATTGAACATCCCACCAAGTAAGACCCTCTTGCGAAGACATTTGGCCACTCATTTCAACCTTCTGATCGGGGCCGAGGCCCAGCACCAAAAGCGTGATGCCATGGAGTTGCCAGATTATGTACTCCTGACAGCCACGGCCAAAGTGAAGGTTGGTTCAGGCTTCTGTCTTCTAATAACTGGTTAAAGCAAAAACTAAAGCTGGGGCTTAGTTTTGACCCGACTGTCCCATTTTCTGGAGTTTACTGAGTCTTGTGGATGGGTTAATGGTCTGTGCATCTTTAAGAGTAATTAAGAAAATGCATCTTTGCAAGTGTCTTTCTGGGGGAACCTTTGCTCACATTGTTTATTCTATTAAGAGTTAACAGTGATGAAGAGGATGACGTTGGCGTATAGTCAATGTATTGCCAATGCAGAGTCCATGACTTGGGCTCAAACATTGATTGCAGTTGTTTTATGGATAAATCCAGCAGAAGAGGAAGATTTCTCACACAGATTCAACTTGTCTGGCTTGCAATAAACCAGTCTTGCAAGTTAGAAAAAGATACTTAAGAAATGATTCAAGGTAGACCAACAGAGAATGGCTGTTTCCAGGTATACCCGGATTCATGGGTCATACCAAATTCAGATTACATTTTCTTCTTTTCAATCATTTCTCTGAGAACTCTTCTGAGTCTCTTATCTCAGCCAACTTAATGTGGAGATAGGGTTTATCAGCTGTTCTGCAAATTTGTATCAAGTTCTTTATATACATAGATATTTCTTTCTCTCTCTCTCTCTCTTTTACCTCCTCTACCTGCCTGACACTTTCTCATTAGCTCCCTTTCTCTCTTAAAAGATCTGCCAGATTTGAAACTTCTGAAAGACTCTGTTCTATTTAAATTCTCAACATCAGCCTGATCACCATCTGCTGAACAGATAGTCACAGGGACTATGCAGTGACTAAGATGGAGTTTCTCTTCCAAGTATCATTAGAAATTCTCTCTCCAAACAAGCGAGGATTCCTTTAGCAACCTCAGTTCTGTTGTGGAAGCATAGTGGGCATACAGGATAATCATAGCTTCCCCCGAAAAGAAAACACAGTTAGGACCATTCTCTTTTCCTGATCTGAGATGGGAAAACCTTGCAAAACTGGATTCATCCCTGAGAAATATCATTGCATTAAGTCCTGTTTAATCAAAACTAAGGCTCTTGGCATTTTTTTGCTTATCACAGTGACTGCACAGCTAATTGGGGTGAATAAGGAGAACAAGCTTAATCTTCTGAGATTCATAGTCTGGATCATTTATTATATTTGGGCACATCTATCATACACACACAGGGTGCTTTTATTTTTGTCACACCAATTTAATCATCCAGTTGCTTTTCTCTATAAATGGAGTGAATAAGTGAATCATGCATATTCTCAATCCTCTGCCATATGAGTTTTATTAAATCCCTGGATGTTTGCTTTTCTTTTAAAGCCAAGGAAACTTACCTTCAGCAATTTTGGGAATCTGAGAAAGAAGAGACAGGAAGATGGGGAAGAATATGTTTGTCCAATGGAACTGGGACATACATCAGGAAGTACCTCTAAGAAGGGATTTAAACCTGGATTGGACATGCGCCTGTATGACGAAGATGATTTGGACCGGTTGGAGCAGGTAAAGGCAATAGGACATGCCTGTTTTCTTTCAAGTTCCTCCAGCCGTGAAACACTAAATGGAAACTTGCTGCACTGTGTCTACTGATCAGTTTTTTCTCTAATATCTGAAAATAAAGATAATAAGAAAGTAGTCAATAGCTTCCCGGTTGCTTGCTATGTCCCAGGCACTATCCTCAGCACTTAACATGTATCAGCTTTCACGGTGACAGTAAAACATACAGAGCCTTGTCATCCTCAGTGTAGGGGGAAGGACACCGAGTCACAGAGAGGCTGAGTAATTCTTAACTGAGATAGAAGAGCGGCTCGAAGACCTGGGCTTGCAAGCTGCCAGGCTGGGCTGTTTACTGATGTTATACTGTCTCTGGGTTATGGAAATCTGTGTATTAAGTCAAGTGGAAATACACAGCTCATGTAGTCTTTTCAATGCGAAGTCCTGGATTTGAGTATTGCCCCCTAGTCACCAATCCTTTGATGTCGTTGTCAATATCAGAGCATTAGGCTAGATGTGCCTGTAAAGGGTCGTTTGGGCTCATTCTTAGCCTCTGGTTGCTCTAATGAAAGGAGGTATCCTCAGAAGTGTTCTGTTGCTCCCAGCCTGTTTTGTATCACTTGCATTATTTCTTCTTTGACTTCTGCTCATTTTGCTGTCCTTTCTTTGAAATGATGCAACCGAGTAGGTCACGTGATGGGTGTGTTCTTTACAGATGGAGGATTCAGAAGGTACGGTGAGACAGATAGGGGCGTTCTCCGAAGGCATCAACAATCTAACAGTAAGTCTGTAAAACGAAGTTAAAATGTTATTCTAAAGGGGCACCTGGCTGGCTCCGTTGGTGGAGCGTGCGATTCTTGATCCCTGGGGTTGTGACTTCGAGCCCCACGTTGGGGGTAGAGATTACTTAAAAATAAAATCTTTAAAAATGAGAAGAAGTTTAAAGAAAAAATGTTATTCTAAAAAGATGTTTAAAATAACCCCAAAGGACTGCATGTTTTAGTGGAATGTGTGTCGTGCTGAGCTCCTGGCTTCCTGTTTCATGACCCCGTCTCCTTGTTTTCCAGCACATGTTAAAGGAGGATGACATGTTTCGGGATTTTGCCGCCCGTTCCCCCAGTGCCAGCATCACTGACGAGGACTCCAATGTTTAATCTGAGCACTTGGACGAGCATGAGGAGCCCCTCGGCTTTCCTCCACCTGATTTCTCAAACAACTCAAAGAATCTAGAACAAGCAGCAGATTATACACGATTGATCATTCCACCTTCTCAGAAGTGGACACGGAGGGCTGGGTTGCGGGGGGGGCAGCGTGTGCCTATTCCGAAGACACCATGAAAAATGAGACACTGGTGAATGAGAGTGTAGTGGTCTGTCCTCTATTTAATGTAAAAATCTGTGATATATTATATTTAAAGTGTTGCATTTAATATGAGTGTTTTACTGTAGCGTTTCACGTTCCCATTCAACAGTACACGGGATTTGGGGATCAGGAAGCAGTGCGTGGATGATCTCATCACGTCTGTGTGGCAGCACTGTAGCTGTCAGCGCAGGACATTACATGCTTTCAAAATCCGTATGTGGAATTTCCTCAAGTGTTCCGCGTGCCCGCTAAATGCCAGCGGCCACCTCCACTTGCCTCTTCTTGTCCTATTTTATATATTTTTCTAAATACGTGTATATATTTAGTACATAGAAAACAGAACTTTTATTTTGTGACATAGGGGAGATGATGAAAAGCGAATACAGTGCTCCAAACGGTCATATACCAGCTGGTCCTCGAAAGGTTGGGATGATCTCTCCTTCCCCACAACTAAATTTTAATGATATTAAAAATGATGTTAATATTGATCATCCCAACTAAATTAGGATATATGAAATACCCCTTCTCTGATGACACATCACCCTGTTGAAGAGTTAAAAAAAAGTTTCAGCCTTCATCTTGGATCCTTTAGCCTCAAAAGGAAGAACACCAGGGACATTTGAATACTGTTAACTCAAATGCACTCAGAAGTTCCCCCCCAAATTTGTAGAAATTTCTGAAGAAACCAGACCAAAACAAAAACTTTCACAGCATTAAGCTGCTTATTTTCCTTCTTGCTGAGTATCTCATGACATCAAAATACTAACAATCTACCTACTGTTATTAATTGTATATTTCTCAGGCTATCAGTGGATGGGATTTTGTTAAGCTGAATATGCATCTGAACATTTCACTCAGAGTTCAGTAATGCTGAGGCTGCACAATGAGTTTTAGAATGGCTATATTGTGATGAGAAAATGTAATTCATGTTTTTAGCACAGGGCCCAGATGACATTTATTTCTAAAGGAAATAGCTGTGGCAAAAACTTACTGTGTTTATCATTTTTTTTAGGGGTAGTTGAAAAAATATCCTATTTTTTATTCACTACTACATCACTTCCTACGATAGCCAACATGGTAAAGACACGTTGTCACAAATTGGTGTGGGGAGAGGCAGTTCAGTATGTGCTCGTGGATTTGCTTATAAATTCTATTTGAATATCAGTGGTGTGATCTTGCAAGTTCTTAGCAGGTTACCAAGCTTTTCAACAAGGGCCTGTAATACCAAATTACTGTTTATTCGTGACTAAAATGATCTGATGCTAATAATAATCCTTTACTCTCTACTATTCATTGTCTGGTAACTGTATTGGACTCTTACATATTAGTATTTTTTTTAACGTGAACATATGTCACCATTTGAAAAACAATTTCTTATTCAAACCTGGTTAAAAAAAAATGTGCCAGAAGACTGTTAGAGATGCCAAATATTCTTTATTCAGGGCAGTGTAACATAACTGATGATACATGATAAAGTTAAGGTTTTTTTTTGATGAGATATATTTTATTTACAAAACATTGTGCACTGCTGGTTTTACCATATGAAAAGAAATAAAGTCAGTTGATAATTGTCTCCTGTTTTTATGCTCTGTGACTTTATTTTCCTTTGTGCAGAATACCCAGTAGGCTTTATTTCTGACCTATTAGAACAGTGACACAGATGCTTTATCTTTGCAAACTCCCATAAGTTTCATGGGGGAGGGTTATAGCATATATTGACAGGTGGAAATTTGAGGGCTCTGAGGAATTTCTGTACAAAAGGAAATAGGCAGCTGGACTGGGTGGGGCGTAAGGAATCCTAGCAGAGGGGTTACTAGAAAAGCAAAGGAAAATGACTCGCCATCAAAATTGAAGAAGTTCGTTTTAGAAGGAGATGTATGTTTCTTTAAAGAACTAAATACTGTCTTTAAGTAAAATTTGAAAAGCAGAAACCTATCCTGGAAGAGACTGCCCAGTATTAGAAGTAGAGTGAACATCGCTAGAGAAGAACAGATGTTTTGGTGAGAGTTAATCATCTCTAACTTAATAAACCAGTAGGAATGTGTGAATACAACACACCTCGTTGGCAAACAGAGACTGGGCATGTTTGTTGAGCTGTGTGTCTGTGTCCTCAGCTACGCCACGTCAATGCTGAGTCGGAAAACTGGGACTGCATTACCAGACATGACTTCACTGTAAAACACTGTAAAACTTCTACTCTGAAGAAGTCATTCCGCATGAGCTTCATACGTTCAATCTCTGGAAGCAGTATTGATCAGGTGCAGAGGAAATATGGGGCAAAACTCATCGCAACAGTTGCCTCCGAAGGACAGCAAAGAGGTTTCCAGCGTCTGTGAGGTTGTCAGCGAGGCTATAGTCCATGCAGCTCGGAAAGTGAGGGAGTATCTTGGATTCGAAGAGCCTCTGAGCAATCTGTGCCCAGCTTCCAACACTCTGAACGAGATCTTCTTAATCCACTTCATCACTTTCTGCCAAGACAAGGGAGTGGACGAATGGCTTACCACCACCAAGATGACCAAGCACCAAGCTGTACTATTCGGGGCAGACTGGATTTGGACCTTCTGGGGAGCCGACAAACAGATCAGGCTTCAGCTGGCAGTGCAAACTCTGCAGATGTCTTCCCTCCCTCCTGTGGCATCTCAGCCCTGTGACATGTCCCCTGCAGAATCCAGGGCAGAGGGGTCTTCCAGGAAGAGAAGTCGATTTGATAAGCTGGAAGAATTCTGTCACTTGATAGGAGATGATTGTCTGGGCCTGTTTATCATCTTTGGGGTGCCAGGTAAGCCCAAAGATATCAGAGGAGTGGTCCTGGACAGTGTCAAAAGTGAGACCGTGCAAGGCCAGCTGCCAGGACGGAAGGCCGTGGCACAGTTTGTCCTGGAAACGGAAGAGTGTGTCTCCATCAGAAAGCTGCTGGGGAACTGTCTGAGTAAGAAAGATGGGCTGAGAGAGGTGGGCAAGGTTTATATTAGCATCCTCTGAACTGGATGTGGGCAAAGAGACTGTAAGGCAAAAAGGAAAAAGTATTTTAGCGAGCTCATCCACATGCATCATCCCACATGGGATTTTTTTTTTTTTTCCTACCCACCCTCCATTGCAAGAAAATAATCACCTGGGCCAAAGCATATAATGTCATGACAACAGAGAGGGAAAAACCCTGCTCATATTGCAGGGAAAATTAATTTATTCAATAATAAAAATGAAAGGAGAGAATAAAGTCAGCCTTGAAGTTTGATTTGCTAAGAAAAAGTCTTTGTTTGATTGTTTAATAGTCTAGAACTGTAAAGTGTAAAATTTATTTTTACTGCTTGGGTGGAAGGTGGCAGAGTGGGGGAGAAGCTGGTCCATGAGACTACGGAATGGGTTTAATTACATTGACAACACCAGTTTCGATTCAGGACTCCTACTAAACAAAACCTCATTCCCCTCTCTTCCTATAAGCTCTGCCCTTGATCCCATCTCCTCCCTACCTGCTTTCTCTGTGCACAGAGACTCTTGGTAGGATTTACTTTGGGACTTGCTTGGAGTGTCCACTTTCCCTATGCGTTAAACACAGTGACCCCTGAGGTGCCTGGGTGGCTCAGATGATTAAGAATCAGCCATCAGCTCAGGTCATGATCTCAGGGTCCTGGAATTGAGACCCACATCAGGCTCCCCGCTTCTGCCTCTCCTTCTACTACTCTGTCTGCTTGTGCTCTCTCACCCGCTCTGTCAAATAAAATATTTAAAATAAATAAACACAGTGATCCCTATAGCAATGCCTCGTAGTGATGATTAACATGTATCCACTTATAAAAAGCATCTTTGCTTAAAAGCCTGGGTGGAATTGTAATAGTACTATAAGGGAGGAAAGCTAAGTGAAGCAAAAAGTGCTTAAGAATGTAAATTAAAGATTCATTCACATGATTGGTAAATGCCTAGTTTTATGTCAGGTGCTGTCCTACACCCTTCCAATCCAGTAGTAAGAAGAACAAAGTCCCTACTCTTGGTGATTTCTCTTTTAATGATGGAAGACTGACAATTGACAAATATATGATTATATAAAATGCATCTTAAAAATATATCTGGTGTTATGTGAAAATAAAGCACGGATAAAGGGATAGAGAGTGAAGGAGGTACTACTTTATATGGGATTTAGGTTAAGGAAGACCTCTGAGAAGGGATAATTGACCAGAGATTTGAATGAAAAGGGAGAGCATTAGTACAGATAGATCTGGGAAAGAATGTTCTAGGCTTAGAGTGCTGCAAAGGCAAAGAGCCTGAAATGGGAGCAGAGTCAATGTGTGTAAAGCAAAGCAGAGGCGGCCTGTGTGAATGGAGTCCAGGGAGCCTGGGAGAGAGTGATAGGAGTCGAAATTGAAGTACCCAGCAAATAAAACAAGCAAATCACACTTGTGAGGACCCAATTTTATTGTGAGTGATAAAGGGACAGACAGACATGCCTTGATCAGACTTACACTTTAAAAAAAATCTCACTTGGGCGCCTGGGTGGCTCAGTTGGTTAAGCCACTGCCTTTGGCTCAGATCATGATCCTGGAGTCCCCGGGTGGAGTCCCGCATTGGGCTCCCAGCTCTGCAGGGAGTCTGCTTCTCCCTCTGACCTATTCCCCTCTCATGCTCTCTCTCACTCTCTCTCAGATAAATAAAATCTTAAAAAAAAAAAAAACCCAAAAACACCTCACTTGATTACTGGGTGGTGACTAGGTTGTAAGGAGGAAAGAGTGAAATCAGAACCCATGGGAGCAGCTGGGAAGCTGTTACAAGAGTTGAAGGTAAAGCATACAGTGTTTGCTGATGATTGGATGTAGGGATGAAATCTACCACAATTAATGCTGTATTTCCAAACACCTTAAATATTAAGGATGCAAGGGAAGAAATAAAGGCACACACTTTGAATGAGCCTGGAAGATACCCTGACACCCAATTAATGTTTCCTTGGCATATGGGGACGGTATATGTATATCTGTAGCAATGTTGTGTCGAGGAAACTATCAAGAAGGTGGTTAGGGTAGTAAAAACAACATTCAGTTTGAAATCAGATGTGGGTTTGAGTTGAATTATCTTAAGAGCAGAGTCTGGCAACTTAACTCTTCGTTTTCTTATCTGTAAATGGGGATGAGTTCAATTAATTCGAAGGAGATGATGCTTGTGATAACTTTTTTTTCCCCCAAGATTTTATTCATTTATTTGACAGAGAGAGATCACAAGTAGACAGGCAGGCAGAGAGAGGGAGAAGCAGACTCCCGGCAGAGTGGGGAGCCTGACGTGGAACTTGATCCCAGGACCCTGAGATCATGACCTGAGCCGAAGGCAGAGGCTTAACCCATTGAGCCACCCAGGCGCCCCAGTGATAACATTTTTCCATACTAAATTATAAGCTAACAATAATTTTGAGAACTCTAGTACAAATTGTAAATATTCATGTTCTAAACAACTGGAAGATATAAATCAGAGTTACCATGTCTTCTTTTTTTTGTGTGAAAATAAAAATGTGAAGCTTTTGCTGATTTAAAAAATACTGTACTTTTAAAAAATCTGCATT